TCCCTAAATTCTGTTTTGTATTTTAGGAACGCATTCGCGCGATGCGTTTCTCATTTCGCGAAGTCGTTTTCACAGAGCGAGAAGCTTTCTTGTTAACAGGGGAGTCTTTTTCTCGCCTCGGACGCGACAGTTCGTCGCCTCTGGTGTTGTGTTGCACGCCATCCGAAATCGTTCACCGTGTCACGGAAGAACGAGCTCAGCCCGTTCAACGCGTGCCTTCAAAGCGTGCGACATTGTCGACGTTTATACACGATATCTTGAAACTCTAAGTAAAGCGATAACTAACAAAACATTTTTTTCTTTTTTATATTCCCTTAATAATTTACAATTTGTTTTAGGAATACATTGGGTAATTTGTTTTAACGATCTAACGTTGAACGTGCATGTCTAAGATATTAGGATGTCTAATATGAAAAAATAAAAATGAAAAGATTACACGTTCGAAAAATATCTGGATTCTAATCTATGACAAAAAGACCATAGCATCAAATAATTATTTGGATTTTCTGTTTTGTACAAATTTTAAATCATTCAGTTTTTACGTACACCCTGTATATTCGATGGGATTTCACGGGATATCGAGTGTATAGCGGAGCATCGAAGTGCGCCAATGGGTTAAGGAGGAACTTAAAGCTAACCTCTCGCTTCGGGGAACAACCGCGCTTCGATACACTTCGCATCGATTGAACAGTAAAATATTCTGAATGCAGTAAGCGATCTTCTGCATTAAAGAGGAGACTTGAATGTCATAGAGGGTTAAAGGTCCAAGGAAAGTCCGTAGTTCGACGAAACGCCTATTTAGTCCTTGTACTTCATCGATTATTTCAGTTTCGTTTAACCTTCTCCAGGTCACTATTTTCAGTGTTGCCCAAAATTACTAGCAATTTCAGTATACATAAATTAATAGGAAGATACCCTAATTATTTAGGCTAGCACGGGATAAAAATGTTAATAATTATGAAATTTCAAATTAGTCATACCACGTTGAAAATACCGATTCTCGTCCAATTAGCAAAGTTAAGCAACATTGGGCGCGGTTAATATCTAGATGGGTGACCGCTTGGTGGGAACATCACGTATGCCTGGCATTATTGTATACCGTTAATATTATTTAAAAAATAAGAGAAAAAAAATTAAAATCGTGCGAAACACGTTCAAAAAAATACTGTTATGTATTACGCCCCCTATCGTGGGTCCTGGATTATTCGCCCCTGGCTCGACTGGACTGTAAAACGGTGGTGGTGGTGCTGCCAGTGACGACGACAGAGTCGAAACGCGTGGACGCAGCTGAATATGGATCCAGAAGAGAGTGCATACTGCACGTTGGAAACAGCGAAGAGGGTTTAAAGCACGATCGTGCCACGAGATCTTTTAAGGGGGGAGTCTCATGTGAATGATAGAAAATTGAGCTATTTTTCTTAATTTTTTTAAGGAAATGTTACATCTGACGTTATGATTCATTTTCGCAGTTTACTTAGCTATCCTTTGGGAATACAAAATAATTTTTTATTAATTTTCATTAACTTTTAATGTTGTTATCGTGTCCAGAGTAAACATCTGTTCAATCACTGGCGTAGGTGATTGCAGCTCTCAAGGTTGACTAAATCAAAAAAATCAAAAAGATTTATATTCGGTAGGTTTACAGTTATCGCCTGTATCAAAATAATTAATTTATGTTGCAAATTGACAAAATGGTGAAAGCTTAAAGTAAAAATTGCAAAATTTCGTCCTTTCTTCCGCAATTTTTAAATAAAAAAAATATGATAAACTCATTATAACAATATGATTTTGGTACGGGCGGGAACTATTAGTATGTGGAACAACCTGTAAAAATTTCAAAGCAATCGAACGTATAGTTTTTGAGATTTTATCTGTGCCAATTAAGAAAGTAACGTTTCGAGAGAAACGCATTTGAAGTCTGCAAGATGATACCAATCAATCCCAGCTCTATATACAGGGTGTTCGGCCACCCCTGGGAAAAATATTAATGGGACAATTTCTTGACTGAGGCTTTATTAGAAAGTTATTAAAAAATCAAATTAAACTATTTTAAATCATACTAAAAAAATTATATTTAGTTACAGGGATCAATTACAAGCATTTTTGGTGAACAGATATACCCCGGAATCCTACGCACTTTCGAGAAAAAAATTCTTTATCGAAAATCTAATGTGAGATGCTTCCCTGAAATTCGAATCTTTAAAATGTCATAACTCCTGAACGGATTGGAGGATTTTAATTTTTCAAAATGCAAACAACGCGTATTTTAGTGGAGAATTTGTAGAAATTCTAACAATATTGAGAAGGTTGTTCCTTGTCACCGTAAAGTGAGAGAAATCCCATAAAACTGGTCCAATATTCAAACGCCCATAACACCTACAATAGTAAAGGTATCTCATTGAAATTCTTTTTTGAAGCAGAGCTCATGGGTACCTACAAAAAAGTATTAGACAACTTTTCTGTAAAGCGTCAAACAATTTTATTAAAATTCAAAAACAAATTTATAAGAAAAATCTATAAGTAGGTGCCCAAATTTTTCGGCGAAAAAAAATTTCAAATCGTTCTGGAAAACGTATTTTCGGTTGCGGTAATCAATCATAATAATTTTTGGTCATTAGACATATCATCGAATTCTTACCCACTTTCGAGAAAAAAATTCGAGAATGTGTGAAATTTTTCGACAAAATTAAAAAATTTCTAATCTTTCTCGAAAAATTATTTTTGATTGCGGGTGTCAGTTAGAATCATTTTTCGTGAATAGGCATATCCCCGAAATCCTACCCACTTTCTAGAAAAAAATTCAGTACGGGCGGAACTTTAAACGTTAATAAGTTTTTAATGAAGCTTCCATCAACAAATTAGTGTCCTTGATTTTCGTCTTATTTTGGCCTCCAGAACCTCCCATTAAAATTTTTCGCAGGGGTGGCCGAATACCCTGTAGAATTCCTTTCAGGATGTTGACACCATTATGGCACTTGCGCTAGAATTTCGACTTTTAAAAACACTAGATGTCTTTTGACCCTGTCGTAAACTTTTCGAAACAGTAATGTCTAGGCTGTACAAGATAATCACCCGAAGCAATAACTCCGGTAATTACCGCGAGGGCTATACATAAAATGTTCTACAATCCACGATACTTGACATTTATCTCTGAAAATTGAACAGTACATTCTTAAATATACATACTTTCAAAAAATGAAATAAAAAAGAAAATTGATTTTTTTGAGGTCTTACATGACACTCCCCCCTTAAAGGGGCGGCGGTCGATTAAGCCGCGAACCAGTTCGTGAAAGAATTCCACCCCTGTCTTGCGTCGGACACCGTTGGAGTTTGACTCGGTCGTGCGCCGTTGGAATACTTTCCCTTTCCCAGAAGAATTCTTCGCTCGAGTGAAATGAAATCTCGATAGGGCGGGAGGGGAGCTTCGTCACGGTCGAAATTGAAATATTCATGGAACGACGCTTCCAGGAATGTTCAGATTTTTATCCGACGACAGTCGAGTATTTCGTCGAGCCTCCACGCGATAATTCGTTTCCGAGTATATTGCCAAGCAAATGTAATAGAGACTCAGCAATGTGGCGTGTCTAGAAATTTAGCAGAGGGGTGTAACTGAAAATTAACAAAGACGAATATGTATTATGTCGATCAATGCCGTGTCGTGAAAAATGGTGGCCAGGGGCCGGTTCTGCCTCGGTCTTGTCACGGTCCTGACTACAATTGCCTGATAAGAGGGGAGATTGCAAAGAATGAAAGAAGAAATCTCAATTATTCGCATATATTAGTGACAGAGGAAGTAATACGATTAATTGAATCACGTGACCCGTACTTAATTTCACGAACGAGACACAACGGGGAATTAGATTTCTGCTAAAGTGTCTTAAGTGGCACGTGAAGGTTAACGAGGCTTAATAAGGGCGAATATCTGATCTGTCCATTAATGATCTTAAAATGAAAGGTTAAATCTATTACCATTCTGCGATTCGCCAATGTCATCTTGTTAAGCACGTTTAATATTGGAGTGCAGTCGTGATCTAAATAGAACATACCATTATATCACGTGGTCCAAATAAACTGTTACAAGCTGTTTCCTCTGAAATCAACGAAAATATCGACTTAATTTTCCGTTGAAACACGTTGACCACCATACCAATTACATTTACTCGAGCTATTCTATTTTTATTGCGCATAGTTAAAGTAACAATAAAATTGATTAATTTTGTAGGGCTTAGAAGCCATAAATAAACATTTTCAACCAAAAAGATGGTCATTACTTTTGTATACACTTAATGGTACCCAACTTATGAAGTAGACTCTAAAGTGTAAGTGATAAAGTTACGAGAGTACGCTAAATTAAAAACTGACACGAAGTATTATATTAAGTTTCCCAGTTATAATGTTTTGGAAAGTTTTTCGATGGTAACGTTATGATCCTACGGGATAAAAGTTTTGGCCGGTTCTTAAATGGAAGAAAATGTGGGAGAGCGAATTAATATGATCGAGTAAAAATTTCATATTGGTGGAACGAAAGGCAAGAACGGGTAAATCTTTTTCGTAATTGTTGGATCGAGGGGTGAAGTCGCCCACCCTATTCTTTATTTCAAAGTTTCAGTCCAGTTTGTCATAGGAATATTATATTAGAATCGTGGATCGATACGTATTTTCGAACTCTAAGTCCCTTTCACTTGGGCTGCTATAATATCTCTGCTTGGAAATGGGGTTGAAACTCGAATCTATTCAAGTATGTTTGCATCGTTAATCTGTTCGAATACTTGAACACAAAAGACGTATTCGCGTTTATTCGCGAGTCTTTACGTCTACCGAATACAACGTTTCAGAATCCATAAATATTCGTGAAAATATCAGTCGTTCCGCCGCATTACCAGCTGTTACACCTCGAATTTCGCAACGCGTATGATTCATCGACGCTTCGAAAAGGAATTCGTCGACGGCGTCCAGCGTACACGCGTCACTCGTGACCAGTTGAAATCCGTGTTCCGACGTGTACTCGACGTGTAATCGGTTGTGCCCGGTGCCGCGATTGATGGAAAGGACGAATTTGCGAACAATCGATAACCTCTATCCATCATCCGTAAAACGGCGTCCGACGGCCGCGTTTCATCGCGACAGTGCTCTCGATTCGTTGCTCGAGTAACCTTTGCCCTTGCCCAAAGTCACCGAAAACGTCCGCGGTACTGGAAAGTTGGTTTACGGATTTAATTAATTCATCGCCCTCTTAATCAGGCATAGTCCGTGTTATAAACAGCTGTTGCTTACTTCTACTTATTAACGCCGGGCGAATTTTACTTGAAACAAATGTGGAACAATTATTTGAAATTAAATTTCAGCGTTTTATTTCCAGAACCGTCGCTTGGAAGTAAATTATATTGTCGACTTTCTTGAAGCGGCGTGTATCGAGTAATGAAATTATAAAAGGCAATAGTATTTATGTGGTGTGTGTGGCATTTTTAAAAGCGAACAATTATTATTTCTATCAACGAGTAACAATTACAAGAGTGTGGGGCCGACAGAGATAAATAAAATACAGAAGACCACGAAACGAAACTGATTGAGAACCGCTGGTTCGGAGAATCAAACAAGATCGATTTTCTCGAACCCACGGAAAAATATATCCAGACTGCATGGAAATTTTAAAAGCCGTGAGATGAAAAGAACGTTTATAAATAAACGGAACACGGTGGATGGGGATGGCCTATCCAATCGTCTCGGTTGTCTCCCGTGTTCTAATACCACGAATAAAACGCCACAACGTTTTTTTCTCCTGCATGCCACGCCGTCGAAGAGTCGATCGATTTCACTAAAGAGCCATTGGCTCGAGTCACGAGCGAGTCATTTGGGAGAATAACGATAACGAGAGATTAATATGGGTTTCGCATTTCTATGGAAGATTAAGCCTGCAATTAGCGTTAATACCTATACATCGATTACGGGCGTAAAAGCATTAGTTTAGAACATATTTTAATTGTAATATTGTGACTGATGGAATATCTTCTAAACGTTTTTTGGTATCTTCAACAATTTCGAAGATATTTGAGTGGGTCTATAGAAATGCAATAATCCGTTCGACGTTCCAGGGTTAATATTGTTCTGTATTGCAAGAGATAGTTTACAATGTGCAGGCTTGCACGAAATTAGGCAAACAAAGTGTCATTGAAGAATGCATATTTCGTGCGTGTTTACATTGCACAGAAATGAACAATGTTTGAGTAACGATGAATACATCTCTATCTAGATCCGTATTTTCCATAGTAGAGGGCATTACCACCAGATGGGGCGCCCTGTAATCTAAAGGGGGCGCTAAAGAATATTTCTGATGCAGAGAAATGTGCATAACGATCTACTTGTTATTAATATACGTAATAATGTAACAGACATATTTATACCTATTCATTCGTCTACGTTATTCGAACGAACTTTTCAAATTCGGACGATCGTTCATCTAGATAAAACTTGTTTGTGCATCGTGGATAAAACGTTCATTATTCGTTATCTGGATAAAATCGTGCCCAACCCCGATTCCCGTTAACGTTTCCACGCGACCTTCCGAATGGTGACGCAAGCACTCGTCGCAAGTTCAATTCTGAGGTTATGACTCAACCGAATATTAGAGTAACGATTATACAAAGTGCTTCGTAATCGCGTGTCGAAGGTTCGGGTGATGAATTCACAACGAGAGGAACAAAATAAACGTACATATATACGCTGCCTAACCATTATTTTCCTATTTCTAAATTACAGTGAATCGAATCTATTTGAAGCGGTACACGCATCGTAGGTTATATCAGATCGTATCGTGCTACATCTTTAACACGCCATAATTCGAAAAGTCCTGAACGTTTCGCGTTCGTGAAACACTCTTTTTTGCCCCATTTACGTTCTAACTTCAGTCGTCGAAGCGTGACCGCACAAAATAACTAATCACCGACTGCAAAATCACCAAATTGGCTTCTTTAGAGAATATTCTCGCTATGGCGACGGCGAATCGATGAGCAACCACATGTAATGGAAACGAAATCGTACTCCACGGGGTTAAAGGTGAGGAGGCTAACACGGGCGTATAAATCGTGAAAACCACGAGGCCAATGTCATTTCATTATTCAGCGGGCGCGGCCGTTGCTTTGGTCGCGGAACGATTATCGGCCCGAGGGGAGGTGTAGCTCCTGTGGAGTATAAAAAAAGAAGAAAATTGTGTATCTGGCGTGTCTACCCGACGCGAGCACGTTCGTACGAGCGCGTCGTGGTAACCGCTAACAAGGCTTTTCTATTTATAGCGCATCGTTGCCGTACGTAGCTTCGAGAAACGCGCCCCGAAGCCCCGCAGTTTTCCGATTTTCTCCGTAGACCGAGTTTCCCCGACGGCATTGGAACCGCGACGCAACTCGAACCTAACCTAGAATCGTCTTGGGGTCTTCGGCAGTCCGCCAAACGCGAATATTCTTCGAAACGTCGATCGAAAGTTCGGGGATTCCCCACCAGTTACTGTGAGTCCCAAAAGTATCCGTGCTGGAGCGGCCTACTCTGGTTACAAAGTAAAATATACAGAGGCCGACACCACAGTCGGAACCTTTGTTGGAATTTTTTTAACGGAATCGCTTTTTTTACCCGCATCGATCTCTTGAAACGTCCCGCACGTAAAAATGCGTAGTCCAGTTTAGAAGACAAATACCAGTGCAGATTGCACATGGAGTTTTGTACGAAACGAAAAGTAATGTCGTCGAGAAATGGTCACGCGTGGGGGAAAATAACTTTTTACCATATGAATTTTTTGTATCTTTATTTCGAAAAGAGTTACGGCTTGTCCCAGTTTCTCGAATTACTCTGTATATTTGCGACGGTTAATGGTGTATGACTCGATCCTGGTCTGGGTTTAATGGCGGCGCCATTGTTGTTCCGATAATTTTCTTAGCGTGTCCCTACTCTAAAAGAATTACCTAATTGTTCCGTGTAAACAACTTATTACTTAATATTTATAACTGTTGGATTAGCGTAGCTTTGAACGACTACAATAAGGCTTGCTCGAACGTAAAGTTTTGTGTATCGTTGAAAATTTGGCTGCACGCGTATTCTTCGTGAGTTCCAAATAGGAAACAAGGAAGTCTCTGGAAGACTGATCTTCTGTCGGGGATAGACACTTTTCAGATATTGGCACTATTCCATACTTTTGAAGCCACTCCCACGCATTAATCGGCGCCCATCCTCTCGTCGGAGTCGTTAAACCTGACTGTAGCATCGTCAGGACAGTGAAAAATCACATGAATTGCCACAGTCGTTAACGACGAATCGCGTTAGTATCCTTGGCAATAAAAAGCATAGTTTGAAACAAACTTTAATATAGACTCTGTGAATAAGAAACAACGTTTTCTGCTGTACTTATCAATTTAGAGATAAACTATACTTATTATAATAAAATAACTTGAAAATAACATGATTTTTACTGTAGAATACCTTTTTTGACTAGTTTAAAACAACAACGTGGGCGTGGGTTCGTGCACGAGGGGGCGCGGTTTCGTGCACGGGGGGCGTGGTTTTGTACCCGCCCATATAAATCAGTTGCACACACCCACTGTAGACTGCATCAACAGATGTCTGATTAAAGTGTAACAAAACGCGTAAACTGCAATTTGTCTTTGTATGGTAATTTCTAACAATACTTGTCGCGCGAAAGAAAGGCCACGCGTGACGATAACAGCCCGAAGAAAAAGATGTGACGTACCGAACGTTTAGTCGCGAGGACCCAGGGGTCTCTGAGAGCGGCACGAGCGACACAAAGACCGTTCTAACACGTCTAGACAAATGTAACCGAAAACGGGCGCCGCAGACCGTGAGGTAATCTCTTTGAACTTGTCGGCTGGAAAAACAAAATCTGCAAACACGGCCGGGTTTCCAACATTTTTGAACGCGCACCAAGTCGATCCTGGTGGCAATGCCCCGCGCCCGAGATGTGTGCATTCGGCTCGAAGTCAAACGGAGCACGAAATTGCGTTCCAAAGGTCCAAAACATATCATAGCCCGTTGGCCGGGAAGGCAAGTCATCGTTGATTAGACACACGAGTATGCGAATCGTTCAACGAGTTCCGGTTCTTTTTCCTTTTAATGCGACCTAATATACACCTTAGAGATTCCGTACTTTACTTTACCGGTATTTCTTTGCGAATATTCTTTTTTTATTTGATTCTCTGATTATCTTGTACAGGATGTCACAAAGTTATACGTCATGATCATCGTACAAATTACATATTATTAATAATCTCTAACAAGATTACACAAAATTCTGATTACATAGTTACAGTATAATCTCTTTCTAGTAAACCCCTTTTATTTCTTTCAACTACATAAGCGAAATATTCAAGATGGCGGATTTAGATAGGAAATATCTACGTATCTCGCCCATTTTCGGTCGTACGAAGAAACTCCTTGGGACGAAGTTGCATTATTTTAAGGGACAGAAAATATTGTCTTAAGGTAATTTTTTGTAACGAGATTTCATGGTCATTGGTATATTTTTAAACGACACTATATATTTTTATCATTGTGGCGTGATTGTTGAGGCGACGACCAATCCGATAATCTATAATAATCTGACCTTTATGTGACCTTGAATACGGAAAATCTAGGGTAGCCCACTTTAGTCCAGCATTTTCGATATTTTGTCGCTTTTGGCCATACGAAGAAATGCCAGAGGGGGCAAATGGCTAAATGGATAATTAAGAAAATATTTTTCTCAAACTCGCTGCTTATCAGATTTCAAAGTCATCGACTTCTTTCTCGATTTTCAAACGAGATTACACCCTTTTGTCGTTGTCATGTTACGACCGACCCAATATGAGAATATACAGAGTGAATTATTTAAGCGTATCGCCTGAATTTACTTGTAAATTATTTGCTGTATAAAAAAAGCGTTCCAAACGAAAAGCAAAGTTCAATAATTAATTTTTTGCTACATTACCTTTTTAACTGTATCATTTGACTCACCCTCTGCGACAACATAACCTAGAAATGATTCTGTCGCTGCAGGCCTCCCTAAAACTGACCAAAACGTCTAAACCCGTCATTTGACTTACTCTCTACGACAACGTAACCTAGAAATAATTCTGTCGTTGCAGGCCTCCCTAAAACTGACCAAAACGTCTAACCCCGTCACGGTTTCAGATTTAATTTTCAAGACCCAATTTGTATCTCGGATTCAAGAATCGGAATCATTCCTGTCCCCATTACTAATTACGAAGCACGATCGATTCTCTTAAAAATCTTACTATCCACCTCGTCGTTGTTTGTGCGAATTGGCGCTTCTTTCGCTTCCGCCACGATATTCTATCCACCGTGCACGTTCTATGCACACTCGCCGAAGAGGTCTTTGACCGTGTAATAATAGTAATGATAACATAGCCGCTTGTTCAATTTGGAACGAGTCCACCGATCGAGGTTAATCAACGTCGATCAGTGTACTGCCTCGTAGCAGAATCGTTTGGTCGTTTATAATTCAACACCCTCCTACCCCCACTCCTTCTCGATCATGGGAACACCCAGAGGATAAATCATACGCGATTTGTTGCCCGCCATGGAAGAACGGACGAAAAGTTTCCGAACCTTGGTCCCACCTTCCAGGGAATCTATTCTAAATCTAGACGAGTTTCGCTCGGCTTCGGGCCAAATTTTCAAACTCGAACGATATTACGGACGCGATAGATGGATCTGTTCTTCCCATCGAAACTTTTCCACCGCGAGCTTCGTACTTATTTTTCGACTCCTCCGGTCTCGTTTACTGTGTTCTTCCGCGTTTCTTATGCACGATCGTTATCTCTCGGGCGTGGAAAAATTCTGAATAAATCGTGAAGAAAAAGGAGGATCGACCTCCGTTCCTCGGTCTTCCCCCCTTAGCGACGGGAACTGACAAGAAGAACGTCAGACCCGATTCTCGTCGATTTTAATGATATTTTGCAGGCACGTAGATTCATATGTACAACAACCATAGCCGTAGATGGCCAGAGGTGGTTAGGAAACAATTTATTTCACACGTGCGTTATACAGAATGTTCGGCCACCCCTGGGAAAAATTTTAATGGGAGATTCTAGAGGCCAAAATAAGACGAAAATCAAGAATACCAATTTGTTGATGGAGGCTTCGTTAAAAAGTTATTAACATTTAAATTTCCGTCAGTACTGAATTTTTTTCTCGAAAGTGGGTAGGATTTCGGATGTATGTATATTCACTAAAAATGATTGTAATTGACCTCTGCAATCACAAATAATTTTTTTAGAACAATTTGAAATTTTTTAATTTTGTCGAAAAATTTCCCACCTTCTCGAATTTTTTTCTCGAAAGTGGGTAGGATTTCAGGGGTATATTTATTCACAAAAAATGATTATAATTGACCCCAGCAACCTAAACTAATTTTTCCAGAACGATTTGAAATTTTTTTTTGTCCTCGAAAAATTTAGGCAGCTAATTAGATTTTCGGTAAGGAATTTTCTTCTCGAAAGTGCGTAGGATTTCGGGGGTATGAGTAATGACCAAAAATGATTGTAATTGACCCCCACAACCGAAAATAATTTTTTTAGAACAATTTAAAATTTTTTAATTTAATTATTAATAACTTTAACGAAGCCTCAGTCAAGAAATTGATATTCTTGATTTTCGTCTTATTTTGGCCTCTAGAATCTCCCATTAAAATTTTTCCCAGGGTTGGCCAAACATCCTGTATGTAAATATTACAAAAAATAGATTTATTATTCTATTAATATTTTGTTTGATCCTTGGTTGTTAGCAATAACGGTGGCAATCTTCCGGGCATTGACAGATTTAGAGGATTTGTAATATCCGTTGCAATTTCGTCCCGAGCGTTTGTCGGTCGGGATAGAGCACATAAGTGATTGGTGCACCATATTATATAGGATGAACCAAATAAAGCGTGAAAGTTCAATATTGTTAAAACTAACGACGAGAACAAAAAATATTATTACTGTTTACTACTCGTTGATCGTGATCGATTTTTAAATTAAAAACCGACGTAAAAGTAACGTACAATCCGCCGCCATTACGAAACTTAACCTCAATCTCGTCGCACCGTTGATATTTTGTCGCGCACGTTCAACCAGTAGTCGCCTCGTGGACAAACCATGGTCGTTAGAACGTTGTTTTGCTGAGAAAGGGAACGAAGGCGGTGTATTTAACACGTTGTCCGCACGAGATTCAGTCTGAGCCCCTCGAGTCTTCGAGACTTCGTTGCTAATTGGCTCAGCGTATCAACGACCTTTCTTACGAGGTTCCTTTTTACCAGACTTCTCTTAATGCGTCGATTTCTTGCGACGTTAGCACGAGATTCACCTTGCCAGTCCGTTCAACCAAATTTCTTAACTGCAATCGATTGTTGTATCGGGACGATTAATTAGCCGCTCGGCTAAGTAAAGACTACATAGCCGATCTTTAATTTCCCGTAGCTGTCTCGAATTTATCCCGACCGGCAAGATAAAATGTATCCGTTTAACATTTTATTTATAACTCTTTTATTCGTTCGATATGAAATATTTCGTTCCACAATTTAAATTTTTATTTTTATTCAACGTGTGTTTTATTTTTATCAGAGCGACGGTACTCGAGCAGTGGCGATGTATGATGAGCGACCCTCGATGTCAGTACAGCGCGAGTTAATCGATTTCTCCTTCGCTTAAACGCTCTAACATCGACCCTGATTAGCTCCTTTGGACAGTGACCGACTCGATTCATACCTAAGGTACCAACGAATCATTAACTCACGCGAATGTAATTAACAGTTTCGCGAGTCATTCTGCATCCTCTAAATCCTCAAAGTATCTAAATAGTCACGTTGCGTATCGACCACCCTGTACATTGCACTTTCAAGGAGAGTGCAATACGATGATTCTGTGGCCAGCTGCTTGGAGGTTAGGTTAATCTGTGTCTTCGATCCATTACCGGACTCGCTTGATTTAATAGAGTTATGCAGGACTTCTTCTCTTTACTCGGCATACGTCACGTGACCTCCCTTATTAGAATTAATCAAATTACATGCATCGATATACTTTCGTTCAAACGATGTTCATCAGCAAAACTGTGAAAAAAGAAGTTAACTAAAGATTTTATATAATCGTTTGAAATTTCTCCTTGGGTCATTCTTGACAAAAAGCTTTTTCAACGGTCCACTACTAATAGAATAAATTTCGCTTATTTAGTTACGTAGTTCACCCTGTATAATAATTTCATTGTTGCACCACTACACGTTAAAAGTGATTTGCCGTGTCCATGGTTGCAACAGTTTCATCGATCGTACCTACGCAAAGAGTGCAGACCCGTAGATATTAATAATAATTGATGATAATAATAATAAGAATAATAAAATGGAGGATGTTTTGCAGCATCATCGAGGGCTGAGCTATCGAAAAATATGGCGTCAGGATTACCGAGCGCTCGTCAGAGGAAGCTTGGACCAGCGCCGATAGCATCCTTCGAAGACCTGTCCGACGAGGTGGAAAACGTGAGTCCTTCCCTGTGTCCTCCCTGAGTCCTCTCTAAATCGGCTGTGTGTTCGAACGAGATCCACTCGAGTGGTCGTCGAGGATCTCGGCGATCGTGCTCGCCTGCACGTCTTCCCCCTTGAAACAATCGAAGCTCCGTGTCCCGGAGCAGGCTGACCTGTGTCCATCACCACAACCAAGTACCAACCACCCACCACCAACCACCAGCCACCAACCACCACACCCCAGTGACTGTCACCCGAGCGACAAAACCAGCCTTACGAATTTGAATGCAGGGGGAACCGGCTGCGCGAATGCCAGGCATCGTCGAGGTCACCACGCCGGCAACGCCTGGCAGTTCGCTAAAGACACCCAGTACACCGAGAATAGACATCAGCCGGGCCAGCAGTTCCTCCCACCATGAGGACAGTAACTCCAGGGACTCGACGCCGGAGAGGGAGCTTCTCGCAGGTAGCCAACACCTTTGCTTATCCCCCTACAATATTGTCTCGCTTATTGCAACCGAATCGTCAACGACGGATGAAATATGGCTCCGCTTTTAGTAACGAGACTGCAAATCATCGGACCACGTATGAAATGTTTCTTTTAGAGATCTCGTAAAGAGGTTTGGATGCAATCTTGTATAATAGTAATGGGGTGATTCTATTACAAATATCCCTAACGCAGATTGGCGCAATAAGCGAGGCAGTATCTATTTTACACCTTAAAAACTAAGAGCGAATGTTTCCGCTTTAACATACTCTAAGATCGTTGAAATAGATAAGGTCGTTAACTTGGTAATTAATTGCTTACAACCTAATCCACTATGATTACTATTCGTTGACGATACTTTCTCCGAAAACGACACTTCAGGATTTAATGTTTGGCGCACTGAAAAAAAACAAGTTTCCACGCGGATTGGAACGGTTTTCGCGAGAAAATTGAATTTTTTTACGCCAAGACTGGCGAGCATGCGACAAAATTCAATTACACGCCGCTAGACGAGGCGTCCGTCTTCCTGGTTCCTTTTCTTAGCGCAAACATTTTAACGGCGACAGCTTATTTCTCCCGTTGTGAGTCAAGGGAATCGCCGGATGAGAATTTGTTTTACCTCTGGTGTGCGGTTTGGTTTCCTTTTTCCCTCCAGAGATTCTAGGAATAATACATTCAATCCGTGCCTCTTCGATGTTAGAGATAACATTTTTCTCGTGTTTTTCGTTCAATTATATGTTGTACTCTTTTAAAGACTAAAACTTTACAGATTATATCTGATATTGATAAAATAACTTCTGTCAAAAGGTGTCAAGTTTTTAGTAAAAAATTAATTTCCCGCTATTTACGACTAATGCATTTTATCATACACTACTTTACAGTTTTAGCAAAACTGTATTCAGTGGCTCGTGTTTATATACGAGTTAGGCACTGCTGCCCTATGATAAAGTAACACCGAGATATCTAACATTCGTGCACCCTAAACGACTACAATGAACACTGGAATACAATATCTCGCAAACACTTGGTAGAATTGTAACAGGATAGCAAGAAGAGCGTCGCCACGAGTGGAGGCTCAGATCGATCGAGACAGAGACGTCTGCTGTGGCACTAAACGGTCCCCCGAGATAACGCGTGCTCGATTCCCGTTTGTGTATGTGTTCCACGAATTAGCACGCACTGCGAGTGTACGGGAGAATTGAAGGGAAACGCGGTGTTCCGGAAGTTTGTCCTATATTTGCGGGACTCGCTTTTGTCGAGCGACACACGCAAACGGCGCACCGTTACACACAACCGACCCGTTAAAAGTGTATCAAGACGACAGCAGATGCACGGGACGCCATTATCGGAGAACCGGGCTTCCCCCAAACGCCGCGTGGTGCGCTAAGTAGATGCGCAAAAGACTAGTTGGCGTCGGCCGTCGCATGGCGCGTATCGTATAATGGGATTTACACTCAAAAAACGGAACAAATACATTCACACCTAATTTCTCTAATTTATATAGTTAGTATACACAGATTTTTTCTCATTTTGGTTAGAATAGTTGGAATCCCTGATACAAATACCCCACTATGCATCGTTGAACCGAACCGTATTTATTATTATAAGTTTGTCGAACCAGTCCAGCTTTAGATGACCCTTATTTGTTCCCGTTTCTAGATGGAACGACCACACAAACGAAGCATAATTTTCATTGACACGTTAAACAGAGTAGCGTGGTTATTATATCTATAGCTTAGTCCCAGTATTCTATATCGATTTTAGACAGCAACAACTAAGTAGAATTATGATAAAAAGTAAAACGATCCTATAGTAGAAACACTCGATGTTCGTTGAATGTCGTTTGAGAAGCCCGTACCAAAAAGTAGATTTAATTGTAGTTACATAGTATTCCGATTTATGTAGAAAGATTATCGTTATGAAATAGTACAGTGGACGAAAATCAATGAGGAATCGTATGGTTATTATGGTCGTTGAAAATTTCAGGCGGAGAGCCTCCGGCTGGGTGCAAGCTGACTTTGGGTTACAAAGAGGATGCCCAGGATTTGAGATCGTCGACGGAAGAACTAGACCTGCAAGATCCCATCCACGAGCAGGATCTCAGAAGGGAGTCGAAAAAGCTGGCCAAGAGACGAAAGGAGGATGGGTCATTGTCGGATTACAGTGGGAAACAGTTGGACAGAGAGCGGAAGGACAGTAATTGTTCGGAGATCGTCTTGCTGAACATCAGTGGCAGAACGTCGAGATTGTCGTCCGTGGGTAGCCAGGGTTCCGGTGCCTCTGGAAAGCTCTCTGTCGTTTCGGCCACTTCCTCCAGGTACGAGAGAGACTTCTACTTCGCGTGTTAGGGGCGCATCCACTCAACAATCGGCTTCGTTAGGTCACCGAGTCCGCACAAATGCCTGCTGGAGACGTCGTTCTGCGGGAGCAAGCCTACGCTGACTGACAACCTGATAGAGCCCTCGAAGCCGGAGACCGACGACTTGGAAAAGATTTTGTTGAAGCGGGAAGCGGACACCACCAAGGCGCTGATCCCGGAGAGTATAAAGGTCTCGATGGTCGACGGAAACCTAAAGCCGGACCCCCTGGACAAGCCACGGAGGCGGGGACGCGAGGAGAGGAAGGAGATCTTCAAAAGGGAGGTGGAGATCACAAAGAGATTTTTAGAGAAGGTGAACATAGAGGTCAGTCCAATACGCGAATCTTGTCAAGCCTCGTCTCGAAGAGAGAAGTTCTTTAGTATCGTAAAACCGTCGACTTTCAGGTGCCGATAGTGAAGAAGCCAACAGAAACGTTAAGTACAACATCGACGCCGGAGGAATCGGTCAGATCTCTGGCCCAGGAGGTTCAGAAGCCGGTGAGTTTGAACTTCAACGACAAGAGAAAGAAAACGCAGAATTTCAAAGAGATCGTGCAAACCACGCCCACGTCCAGCAGCGTGACTGGCAGCCCGAAATTGCCCAGGCATCAGAAAGTGCGTGACCTGGAGGGCTCTCGGACGCCCAGTCCGTCTTCCGTTTCTCGTAAAAGCAGTTTCGCGTCTTTGTTCAAGGTACGAACCCCCATTATTTTGCGCTCAATGACCTTTAGTGAGTCGAAGGCCGAAGGATTTGTCCACAAGGACCGATCGATTAAATTGAACATCTAACAAGAAGAGATCTCAAGATCGGACCAAGGTTTTACCACTGTAACTTCGGCTTTCGACGCGTTAAACGCAATTAAAAGTGTCTTAATTACGCTTGCCCGTTTTGCTTGGTCCACACACGGACTCCTGGCTTTGTATTTGTAGACGATCCGCTAGCTTTATCGAGAAGAATATCGCGAAACACTGCATGTTCTGATCGTCCGCGTGTTCGACTTTTAAGGCACGTACAGACAGCAGTGTGTTGAGCCCAGAATCCCCGTCGCCCAACACGAAACCACGACGTAGTCTGACTTCCAAGATAAAGGACACTACCGAGAGTCTGCGCAGCAGATCCAAGTCGCGCGAGAGAGTGTCCGCGGACAGCAGCAGGGCATCCAGCTTGAAAAAAGACTCGAAGAACAAAGGCGTGTTCTCGTCGACGTTGAGTCTATTTAAGAAACGGGAGAGAAAGAAGAGCTACGATGAAGCGATCGCTGCTGCCTGTGGGACCTCCGACCTCGCCGATTCCGGCGATCATCCGTCTCTGGAAAGCATCGGTAACGTGGAGTTCCGGTTCAACACGGAGAAAGAGAACCGCAAGGACGATTCCATCTTCATAAGCCTTCACGCGGACGACAGGAATTACGAGGTGGCTCTGCCCTCGGAGAGCGTTTCGATTCCCCTCGAAACGCCCACGAAGCTGCTGGACGAGTACGAGTCCGAGCCTTGCACCGGAAGCATAGTGACGGAAGTCTCGATCGAGCACCATCCAGCGCCCTCGAAGATCAAAACCGAGGCCCAGATCGAAACCACCTCGAGAGCGTACCACCGGGACAGTCAGATCCCGCGGAGCGTGTCGAAGGACTCGGAGATATCCAGGAGTTCGTCCAAGGACTCTAAGCTTGGTGGTCCCAACAAAATATCCGAGGCTGCTGTCAGACCGTCGTCCTCGTCATCGATCGACGGCGGCAAGCCTCTGGAGCACCGAGTGTCCAGCAGCTCGTCGAAAGATTCCGTCGGGAAGAAGGAGGTGACGAAACCGAAGAGGAAGAGCAAAGAGGTGCAACAGATAGAGCCGCCGGAAAGAATAGACGAGGACGGTCAGCGACAGAGGCAGCAGGCCAAGAAACAGGCGACGCAGAATCCCGAAATTAGGAAGTCTGAGCTGCTGGACGATAGTCTCAGGCCGGAGGACGGGCTTGCGAAGGCGCCCAGCGTGATCTCCGATCTGGATCACAACAGCTCGGAGTCCGAGAGGGACTCGGAGATTGAGTTCATCAGGAACAAGGTCGAGAAGCTCGCTCAAGAGCTGCCTGACGAGAGGAAGGGCTTGTTCTACGAGGAAAGTTTCGAGGAGGATCTTCCTTACCTACCAACGACTTTGCCTTTAGAGAAGAGCGTAGCAATACCGATCCTGCCTGCGAAACAACGACTTCATGAAGTAAGGTAATTATTATGAAATAGAATTGAGAATGGGTATAGATTCTACGCTCGAAATTGGTCCTTTGTAAAGTAAAATAATATAATCATTTTCGTCAAGTCGTTTTTTGTCATTTCAAGTGTTAGATCCCTGCCGACGCTATTTAACGTGCTATATTTATCTTGCTTCTTTCCAATGTATCTATTCTCTGTCCTTATTTGCTAGGATTAGGTCTCGTAGCACGATCAAATTTTGCTAAATTAAAACGGTCCCCAAAAATAAAAATTACATGACATTTTTGTCACCGAGCGTGGTTAGATTTATAATAATTAACGATGATTTATTTCGCGATTCATAGAACGATACCCATTGAGAGGCCGCGATCCACGACGCCTATAAATCCGACTCTTCTCGACGAGTTTGTAATGCAAACGTCCCTCGACGAGCGTCGCATCGAAAAGATGAAGATATCCCTGCCGCGGGAGGACAGTCGCAAGCTGAAGAGCCCGCGGAAGCACGCGGCGAATACTTTCTCGGAGTTCGCGGGTACGGTGCCCGACGGGGCTCGAAAGGCGGCGGGCAAATCGCCGAGCCCACCTCCACTGCCACCGAGAGCGCCGGCCAGACCGACCAACTGGATCAACTTTGAGGAGATACCAGAGAAGAGGAAAGCACCGAAGAAGATTCAGACGATCCCGCGGGTCGAGGACGAACCGAAATCCGGCGGTTACAGCTACGTGCAACCGGAAGAGTGCAGGTACGGGTATTATCTTTTATTTTACACACGCCAACTTAACGGTTGGGGCACGATCCGAAGGTAAACACTATAGACGAAAAAACACAACCCCTATGGGGCACTCTCGAAAGGTGGTTCGAACTCTGTTGGCTCAATTTCATATGTTGCACTATTGTTTTATCGTTGCGACATCTTTTTCAAGTACCGAGACTCGGCCGCCGTCGCTCGACGTAGTATATCCATCTCGCTTCCTCCTGTTGCAACCATTCTCTTCGTCGAGCAACGTTGGGATTCGGTTCTACGAACAATACACTATCCTGGAAATGTTTAATTCGAACGCGTACATTATTCGTATACCGTTCGGTAATAAGGAGAAACGTTGCATGGAAATTTCACCGAGCGTGTGTTGACCCAAGCATTTTTTATCCAGTTTAGCGTGCACTGCTAATCTGCAAAGTATCGAACCACCTTTAAAAACCACCCTGCATACACGTATGCTCTTATGGCGATCAACAGGTGCGAATGTCACGAGGAGTCGCGAAGGGCGTCGATGAGAGAAGCCGCCGCGACAACGAGAACGTCGTCTTCTTGCAGCAGCAACGGCGAACGATCGTGCAACGGAGACAATTGCACGGTGCCGGCGTCAGCGTCCGTAGATCGTGCCAGCATCGTCAGGTAAACGCGCCCGGGTACGATCGTCGATCACAGCCGAACCGGTCTCGTAGGGCAACCGTCGAAGACGCTAGTGTTGAGTAGAAGTCTGTTTCTGTACTTTCAGTGACAGCTCGCTGGAGTGTAGCCTGAGCATCGAGGAGGGCACGCAAACCCTTCTCGCAGACTCATCGTCGAAACCGTTCGGCATGGACCTCGACGTCAGGTCGAACAGGTCCAGCATCGTGTCGCAGGACGAGAACGACGAGATCCAGCACCAATAATAGTTTCACGGCACGTCTCCTCGCCTTATTCTCCTTACCAGATTCTCCTTCTCGTTCGAACTCACTCGGTCGAATTCTCGTTGCTCCTGCTAGCGGCGTTCGGTGTTGCTGGACAACAAACAAATTCCAGTCTCGTTTCTCTCTATTCTATGATGTCTTCTTTCCCCAAAGCAGTATTCGGCGTCGATGGTTTTAGGGAGCACGCAGTACTATCAGTGACGGGTCTACCGTGATACTTGCGATGTTCGATCTTCAAACGATGTCACTTTTTCATTAAGTACCACGCGTTACGATGGGATTTCAAACGCTTGGAATAACGGACAAAATTAAACGGCCCCCCTCTCCCCGAGACTTGGTAATAAATACAAACAAAAAATTATTAGGGACTCCTTCACTGAATTTTACTCCTCTTTCAAATCTATGAAACGTGTAGGAATAAGTATTAATTTTTCTATTGAATTTTCTTAGTGTCTTACTGTGAAATGTTAATTTTTGAAATTTCTTCCGTTCGCTAACGCGTACGTATATTATTTTATTGTTTCGGTACATGATATTTGGCGTAAACCTCTTTTGCATTAATTTTTTTAACATCTATAAATAATAATTATTAATATAATAAATATATGTCGTTGGTAAATAAATACTTGTTATAGCATTTGCAAATGTGTTTAGATGGACTACTCAGAAACGTAGATCCGTCACTGGTGATAACGCAAACTCGATTGCATACTTTAAGGTTAGATTGTCAAGCAGTAGTCGCCGTACCACGTCGTTTTACCGTGGCGTAGCAAATGTTTATATTTTTTTCTCTCTCTCTTTCTCTCTCCTTCGCAATATACACTTTCAAGAATTCGTATTCCGTTACGGTGTAAGAAGATCGTCGAATAAAAATAAATAAAAAAAAACGTAGGCGGTAGCACAAGTGTACTGACATTCGAGGATTCGCGACAACGGAGTTGTTTGTTGTTCAGTTCGCACGGTACAAAATAATTCACGTTGAACACGTTACGAACGTCTTTCGCTGGACCACGGTTTTCGACAATCGACCTGCTGGTCCACGCGCAACCGTTGGTCACACGAGTCGTGTGCCATATTGGTCACGCGACTCGCGCCACGGAACACGAGTGTCTCGAGCGTCGCAAGTTTTTCTCGACTTTTCTCGTCGTTAGCAGCGATGGCAAGCAGTCGTTCATGCTTTTCTGAGATCGCGGCGATTCGACAGTTGACACCAACGCAACGAATAATTGTTAAATCCCAGGCAAAAGAAGTTTCGCAGTCCGATTTTTCGAAAAATGCGAACGGCACGGGCGCTCCGCTACCTCTTCGCTAGTCGTCTATCGAACACTTGTATATACATACCTTGTAATAGTCGAATGTTGCCATTCTCACGAGATTTTAGTCTAAGAACGTACCTTCCTACGAGAATCCTCGTTCGTTTCCTCGTTATTTAGAGTCTCACGTTATCTATAACGGACAGAAGAATGCCTGTTGGTATGCGCACGTTGACCAAAATGCTTCCTTATGACAGAGCGTAACCTTGCGAATTGCGCGGACATCGATCGCGGACGGTGACTTGTGTCTGATATCATCGATCGACGCTTCATATCATATAGATAGACATAGCTCTGTAAGTGTTTCCGCTGAGGTTTAGAGGAATATAAACGTGAAGAAAAAAAATTTATCGAATTGTTGAAACCGAGCGATTATTATCGATGTCACACGATCGCTCGGCTGTTCCAGCAGCTGGCCAGACTGAAACTTTTATTGCCCAGTTGCGAAACAGAACGAGAACAGAAAGGGAAAATGCTGCAAGTATTTCGGTCCAGGTGTGCTTTCGTATTTGTTGAAAATGGAGAGCTAGCAAAGAATTATCATTGACACGGCGAGGTAGGAAACGAATGGAAAGCATATAGGACGAAGATCGCGAAAATAATTATTTGCGCGTTTCGTTGGTCGCATATGATGCGCGCGTTATCGATAGATTGTTCTATAAGTATTACGTAAGAGTATTGTGTGTGCGTATGTGCGTGGAGAGGTATATACACGGGCACCCTGTGGTGCATATCCATGGAATTCACATTTTTTCCAAACTGTTTATCATCGTTCTCAATTCTCCCACGAGGACCATCGCGGTTCTTCTTGGAAACAAGCCACCGTCCGGCGAACGATACAGGACGACGAGAAACGAAACGCGGAAGTATCGGTTAGTTAGTGAGCTTAGGCGTACAAGAAAGAATCAAACGACCATGAATCACCAAAATCATTGTTATTTTACACGTCGTTGAATAATGGGATGCTGTACAGTATCCAAATTATGTTTCAACGTTACGGTAAACCTCGGTTGGCCCAACGCTCCTGAATCGTCGACATTTTGTTTTTACTTCGGTGATACGATGGCATACCCTCGGAGTCGCGAAGAAAGTACAACGCGAAGCGAACAACTTGCTTTTCGACTCGTTATCAAAACATTTCCTCTTTCTTCTCCTTCAGCCCCTCTCCCCTTGGAGAGAAAGATTCCGCTTTGTGGAAGTCAAATCGAAGAAAGTACAAGGTAGTAGAAGTAATCGTAAAATTATCCAATGCTCGGCTATCATTAGGGATCTTAATTTAGCAGTATGTACTAGCGAGTCACGACGATCGGTTACATAGTTTAGAACAGGCATGCCTAACGCGTTGCCCGCAGTATATCCGGGCAGATAATTTTTTACAGTCACAAAACCACGCCCTCACGAACAACGATCTCGTAGTGAGGTATGCTACAAAGGCACACGGCGTATGCATTCATAGTGCCCTAACGCATTCGTGAATTTAAGCACCATAGAAAAAGAAATCTCATATACACGTAACGCAATGAAACAAAAGCTTTTGAAAGCTAATGTAATTAAAACTTCCAAACTGTCGGTACGAAATTTTTAAATCGAGCATTTTATATATATATACTCAAACACTATCACTAGATACTTTGATCATCGTTACTTATTTAATGTTATTCGCCCATATAAATCGTCGGTATCATTGTAAATATCAAATAGAACATCGGCATATACCTCCTAATTATTCCTAGATATTTTCATTGTAGAATATTTTAGAATTGTAAATTTGTATGAATTGAAAATCGTGTTAAACTTGTATGAATTTGTATCTATGGATTAAAAAACTGTTTCTGAAAATGTAGTGCTAAGCTCGGGACACTCCTAAACTCATTGACTTTTGTAGACTACGGCAGAGCTACGGAGGTGCTAGGAGTATTCTTCTAAGGGCAAATATAAACATAGATACAGTACTGATTATACGATATCAGACCTAAGCTACATACAAGAGATATAAATTACGCGGATAATGATACAGCGAGCAAAACAGTAAAATCAGTTAAACGGTATACCTGATGCACAAACCGAACCATACTGCTACAAATGCAAGAGTACCGTTCCCTTCAAAAGTACGTGTTGCGCAAAGAAGATGCGCGTAAAATCAGTATACCGTTGACTATCGAAGGGTACGCATCGCAACAATGGACACACGCGTTCCCCTGTTGGTAAATTAATGGTAGACAGTTTTTTTTTTTTTTTAACACGTTGACTGTCAGACCAAAATTATGTAACCTAAATTCCTAGTACTTATTTTTGTAACCTTAAATCCATGAATTTTATTCAAATTTATTTCCCCGAACATCTCAACTTGCGAATAAATTTTTTTTGTTTCCATATTGAAAAGTCCTATCATTATGGGCGACATAGCAGTCGAAGTATTGAGCAGTCAATTGCGTGACAAAGAAAGATAATGGTTGTAGCAGGTGGAAGTGAAATGAATATGTTTTACCGATTCTTGTTCTCTGCTAGATCAGGTTTCGTAGAGCTTGAGACACTGACAATCAGTGGAAGGGTCCTGGGGAGAGGGAGAGGGGATGAATCGTGGAAAGTGAACTGTGCAGATTTCAGAGAACGTTAACCTTAAAATTACCGTACTAAAATTGACCGTCACTTCTCTATGTGAACAGTTGGGCATGCCTGGTTTAGAGTAATTGAACGACGATGCTGGATACACTTCACAGCAATTATAATTGCATCGCACGTGCTCCACGTGGATAAGTAATGGTCTGCTTAATGGCAAGAGCAATCTTTATCGCGTGCAGTAAACGATTCCGCCTATCCTTTGTCATTGATCGACGACTGACCTCAACCTCTATTCGCGCTAATTGAGTTTACCAATAAACACGAATTAACGAGATTATCGTGAGTAAGTAGATATCGGATTAGTTTCATTGGAACTCGGGAAATGTAATTTCCTTAAAAGGGATCGACGTTGGAGTCCCTAGGGAGCGAATCGAACGCGATTCACGACAAAGTGGATCGTCGTTTGTAGCTCGCGTGGATCGTTGTTTGCGATGCCACGCTCGCATCGTAGGAATTTCTGCTCAAGAACGTTGCGTTTCTTCGACGTTGTAGTTTTCGTGACAGCACCAGCTGTATGTATAACTGTATTCTGTGTTCAAAATGGAATTATTTAGTCCTGTTGCACCAAACGCGACAATCTTTTGGTGAAAAGAGTTCGATTTTTCGACGGTGTGCATACGGGTTCTTTGCGGTATCTCTAATACGCATTTAGGAATTGAGTCATTGTTCTGCTTCCACCTCTCCATATCGGTTCATCCTTGGACAAGGAGACCCGTAGATTAATACAAGATAAATTTGAATGAATTTAAATATCTCAAGAGCAACATACTTTTCGAAAAAGTATTAAATACAAACCTTTTTTGGTTTCAAGGGTGAAGCACAATTGTCCCATTTATTTTGTATTCGTTGAGAGGTTTCAAGGTTATTTATCGATTCTTATTCTACGGGAGAAAAGAAGCAAATTTTTTAATCAGACGCCATTTTAAAATGATATTTAAGACATACTTTGAGTCTTGACACGACCCCCCATTTTTGTCAAATGTCTACGAATCGTTGATGTTGGTATGTTTAAAATTCCTTGGCATAATGGTTAAAGGGTATAGCCGAATAAAAGGGTCAAATGTGCCCCGAAACCGAATTGAACGAACGACGAGTCATTCGATAGCTTATCCAAAAAAAAACCCTGTGTGCAAATTTTTAACTTGAAATCTCGACCGTAGGGGTAGTAATGGGGTGAAAACGAAAATCATGTTTTTGTACAATTTCTCTTGACCTATTGAGTAAAAAAATGTAAAAAAGTTCAGAGACATTTCGGGTATCGGGGCACATATTTTTAGAGATTTTCAGATTTTTTGATTGAAGAACCAGGTAGTAAAAAATAAAAAATCGCAAAAAATGCTTCTTCTCCCCTTGAATTTTGATGCATTCTTCAATATATGAGTGTTTTGTAGACTGTTTAATGTTTTTACACTAAACAGAATAACATAATATTTGAAACAAATAAAATAAAGCCAACCGTTGAGCGTAATATATCCTAAAAAACCAACGATATTTTCAACGGCGTCGATGACGACGCAGCGTTAGTGTCCGACTGTGGAACCGCTGGAATTTTTTGTACCGTAGGTTCGAGTCTCTCTTCTGGACTTACAATTAGTATTTTTTTTTCAAATTCCAACTATATAACAATGATTTATATTTATTTATAAATGTTCTACAAGCATTTTACAAATATTTTAACCTGAAATATGTATAAATATAATTTTGGAGCGTTTTTTGCGTCTTTATTTTTTTTTGTCAACCACGATTATTGTTTAACATATTTTACACTGAAATCGTTCGGGTTCTACAATGTATTTATGATACGTCTATGACTATTCAGCACGGGGGAGCAGAGCACTGGAAACATGTACTGAGGATTAATTATCCACAGTAACGATTTAATATCTTCATCCGGTTTTTAAAAATAGCGGTGTAGAGGTATTTGTACCGTAAACTCTAGTGCTGAAAATTCCCAAATGAGGATTTTATTTATGGCTTCACTGATTTTAATTCTTTATGACTGCTATGGGCAATAATAGTGGCAGTTTTCAATCTTTGTAAAAGAGCCACAATAGATTTATTTTTTAATTACTCAGATCAGGCTACTGCATGCGATGGGATTTATACATAATTATTTGGCATGGTCCGTATAGGGTGGTCCTACAAGTGTTTCCATTATCTTTAAGATCAGCAGTAAGGAAAGGATAATAACCCTTACATGTCTACGTTAGATACTGAAGCCATACCAAACATTCATATTTATCAAAGAAAGAAAAAAAGAAGGAAAGATCTGTTTGATCGAAGAGGGAGACGAAGCATTTTTCGGCATTTTTTGCGGTTTATTATTTTTTACTACCTGGTTCTTCAATTAAAAAATCTGAAAATCTCTCAAAATATATGCCCCAGTACTCGAAATGTCTGAATTTTTTTACATTTTTTTTACTCAATAGGTCAAGAGAAATTGTACAAAAACATGATTTTCGTTTTCACCCCATTACTACTCCACGGTCGAAATTTCAAGTTAAAAATTTGCACAGAGGGTTTTTTTTTGGATAAGCTATCGAATTACCCGTCGTTCGTTCAATTCGGTTTGGGGGCACATTTGACCCCCTTATTCGGCTATACCCTTTACAAAAGCAAAATGTCACTTCCCCGTACCATTAAAGAAGCATTTTTCGGACGGAAATCCCTTTACTTCATCAAAATATCTCCCAGTAACCGCCTCATCCAACCCCTCTAGTGTTCATGATTATTTTTAAGAACACTCGATTGCTAAGAGAAGTCTAAAGGATATTTAAGTGTTTCTAACGTTGTGTAAATAAAAATAAAATTGGAGAGTGCATATCGCGAAAACGTTATGAGAAGTGGTATGAGAGGGAGGGAGTGAAATGGAAAGAGAATAAAAATGTTTGTGTTTTGACGAGTGGCTCAATCATTTCATAATTGTGTTCCTGTAGATTCTAGAACGCTCTCTTGCCTCGAGGAAAGTTGTAACGAGCCACGAGGATTCGTTCGCGAGTCGAGAACTGCGATTAAACATTACCGATTGTTCTTTCTTTATTATTTACAATATTACGGCGAGGTAGTCGGATTCAAATGATTTACTTTCTTCTATAGTATAGTTATCGACTCGGGACCGATCGAATCCTCGTAAGTAAATCGGAAGTCCCGCACGACGTTCCGATCCGCGGCGAATTGCAATTGTTTATTGTTACGTGTTGCAGAAACGGCGACGTAAAATCGACGATTCGAGGTCACGAAGAGAAAGATCGGAGAAAAGATGAAAGGAAGAACCAAAACAGAGGGAAGCGGTCCGTTGTTAGTATTCCGAATGTATTAGGTTTACCGGAAAGTTCTGTACGCACTGTGATGTCTGGAGTTTAACCGGATAGAGTATTATAGTATAGAAGAGTAATTTTAGCAATCAAGTACAGTATACCCGGGTAACTGAACAGGATTCATCATGGCTGTTAAAAACGTCGATACCTGGAATTAGAAAATGTTCCCATCCACCGGGCAACCGATCAGGTTGTTAAATCTGATGCAAAATAATAAATGAAAATCAAAAATCGGAAAACAAATGCACAATAGTATAAATTTTTAGGGGATTCCCACACTGTACGCTCAATTTTGTGTTGGTAAAATCATTGTATGTCTGGAAATATTAATAAAAAAAAAAGTAACTATCTTATTTTGAATACTATTTTTTTTCTCAGTGATTGAACTTAACCTTCAAGGATCTTTTTTACACAAACTATTTAGATAAGAACTTCGAACAGAAAGCAATTACTATGAGCGACGGACAGAGCGAAATGAGATTGGAGATAAATATTGTAGAGCTTAATAAATAATTTCTGATCTTACCAACCATTTTGGATTATGGCTGGTGTCGTATAAGTTGAGCGGACAGAACTTTCCGACGGACCTGATAAATATTCTCGCTGTGCGTTGTCTGCCGTTTTTTTGGGTACGAGAGGACGAATAAAAGAGGAGAATCGTCCTCGAAAAGAAAAAAAGAAAAAAAAAACGAAAAACGTAAAGCATAATTAAAAAAAATACACCGCGAAAAAGAAGTTCGTAGAAAAGCGAGAAGCTTCGTCGTGGACGGCTCTAAGCCTGTTATTTTCTGAGAAACAGCATTAATTATTTCTATAGAGTCTATTCTTATAAATAATCTTTCGACTGAGTTTCCGCGTCGATCACCGGAAATAACGTTTGATCTCCGCGCGCTCGTCCATGACGGGTTCAACGTAAAACAAACAAGACAAACAAAAAACGAAGAGATCAAGATTTTTCGCTGTATATATATATATATATATATATATATATGTTTATTCTCAAAGAAATTATACGGCTATTATATAATTACATTAAAAAAACAAAAAAAGAACAAAATAAATAAATATATATATAAGATGAAGCGAAAGGAGAGTGTATACTAAGAGAACAACGTATGCTATATATACGATATTTCGAAGCACATCCGTTTAAGGAATTGTTACTGAATGATTCAATAAATATTATGTCTTAATACAATGTAAAGCCCGGCGATCCCTCGGGATAGGATCGTTAACGAGATGCGAAGAAGCTTGCAATCCGAACGATCCGAGTTGATTTCACCACCCTTTTTCGACTACTATCGTGTATCAATCATCATGTACCGATTGGTTTTATTTAATATACTGATTGTTAAGCCTTTGGATCTTGGATTTTGCTGGTGTCCTGTAAGAACCATCGTGCTTTGTCTCGTCCCCCTTCTTGCCCTCCTTTTCCCTTGCGTCTAAAACCACTGGTTGATCACCGTCCCGCAACATTACCGCGGTCGTCATCATCGTTGTTGTTGAATTATTGTCTTGCAGAGATTGCTGAAGACAGAAAACAATCGGAGAAAAAATTGACAAAGGAAATATTTTTTTTTCAAGTTTGTAGCTGTTCTTATTTAACCAGTTCACTCTGCATTCGAGTTTGTCATGAACAAGCGTTTCATTTCAGGCGTGACTAATTAACGGAAAGTAGATACTCTCCTAACCTGCTTCGGGTACGAAAAGGATGGTGTTTGCGTCACACTTGGCAAGAAAGGAGCCACGCCACATGCTTAAACGTCTCGATTTAAACGGAAATAATTACCTGCATGACGTTTATGAGGAATAGAAAGGCGAGCAACGTCAACGCGCTCAGAGCTGCCCCGCTTCCACCACCCTTGCTCTTGTAACTCCTGGAACAGTATCGACGATTAGCAGAGTTGGGCAAATTTTTATTGCGAGCAACGAATAAAAATTGTGGATTCGTTCTTGGTTCAATTTCCGTTTTTGCTTCGTTCGTAGATTCGTTCGTAAATTTTTTACAAGCGAATAAAAACAGTATGTTAAGGCTTGGGAAATGAACCAAATATTTACCCGTAGTGTGAACCGTGGTGGTAGCCGCCGGAGCCGCTGTGGTGATAACCACCAGAACCACTGTGGTGATATCCACCAGGGCCACTGTGATGGTATCCGCTGTGGTATCTATCGATGGGGGGTCGGTACGAATTTTTCGCGAGATTTCCAAAATTCATCAGATTCTTAAACGTCATCTAAAACAGATCATGAGATACTGTGAGATCTGTCCAACGAAATATATTTTCTCGATTGACGCTTCAATTGCAATTGGGTATTGTGCGTTATTTTCTTGAAGAAAGCTAGAGTAAAAGTTGGATATACAGGATGTTTGGCCACCTCTGGGAAAAATTTTAATGAGAGATTCTAGAGCCCAAAATAAGACGAAAATCAAAAATATCAATTTGTTGATCGAAGCTTCGTTAAAAAGTTATTAACGTTTAACGTTTCGCCTGTAGAACGGCAATCTGCGGACAGCTGCGTACGCGTGATAGTGGTTCTCACTCAGAAAACTGTGACGCTGTCGATACGTCACGAAGTAGAGTTTCTCATACTGGGTGAGAACCACTATCGCGCGCACGCAGAGCTGTATGCAGGTTGCCTATCTACAGGCGGAAATTTAAACGTTAATAACTTTTTAACGAAGCCTCCACCAACTAATTATTATTCTTGATTTTCGTCTTATTTTGGCCTGTAGAATCGCTCATGTAAATTTTTCTAAGGGGTGGCCGAACACCCTGCATACTCAAACTGATTTACAGTGTAAATGCCCGGTCGACTTGGGCTGTTTCTATAATTAGAATCGACCCATCTACTTCGTAAACGCTTGGCTTGGTTGTGTGTTCAAAATCCTTGTTTCATTTTTATACATATACCTCCTTAAGTCGGTGTTTGGTTGCTTTAACCTGAAGCTGGCTTTGATAGTATGCGACGAGTAAATGCAGCGATAGCCACGAGAGAAGTGTCAAGTTTCACAAATTCACCTTGAATCCCCAACGAACACGCGATGGAAGAAAGAACACCTGTGTTTTGCAACTGTTCTACGAACAGTCACGGCGACGCGCCACGCTAGACTGTTTCCGTCCAGAATAAAATCAGTTCCGTATACTTTCTGTCACGCCATGTGGATCCCTTCGTGTTTCTTGACGAAATCTCGACCATCTTTTCGCTACTTGCACCGATTAAATATACAGTGTCCTCGTTATCGCCGTCAAGAGCAATTTTCCATTGTACTTTAGCTCGTCGACGCTCTGTGACAGGTTACTTAATCGACCTTTAATTGCACAAAGCGGACCATCTAACAATACCAACGCAAAGGAACCAAGGTAAATGTACAGTAAATTCCCGTATAACGCAAATAATATAAAGTAACGTGTTTGAAATAATTATTGTCTCATTAATGTTTATTTTCTGTATTTTATCAAATAGGATAGTTTTTTTTTTTAATAAATAATACATGTGCATATAGGGTGTTCGGCCACCGCTGGGAAAAATTCTAATGAGAGATTCCAGAGGCCAAAATAAGACGAAAATCAAGAATATCAATTTATTGATTGAGGCTTCGTTAAAAAGTTATTAACAAATTTCAAATTGTTTAAAAAAAATTATTTTCGGTTGCGGGGCCGATTACAATCATTTTTGGTCATTACACATACTCTCGAAATCCTAGGCATTTTCGAGAAAAAAATTCTTTACCGAAAATCTAATTAGGTGCCTAAATTCGACGAAAAAAAAATTTGAAAGTGTTCTGGAAAAATTATTTTCAGTTACGGGGGTAAATTACAATCATTTTTGGTGAATAGACATACCCCCGAAATCCTGTGCATTTTGGAGGAAAAAATTCAGTACAGGCAGAACTTTAAACATTTATAACTTTTTAATACTATTTAACAATCAACAAATTGGTATTCTTGATTTTCGTCTTATTTTAGCTTCTAGAATCTCCCATTAAAATTTTTCACAGGGCTGACCGAACACCCTGTATATGCCATTTCATATGAAAATTAACGTCAAACAAACAATTTTTAACAAAAACGTGTACGTTTTTCTTTTTCTAAAACAAACTTAAACCATAACCTAATTTTTTACTATTGGGGAAACTGCAATTACCTTTTGATCAACCCAATAGTTATCATGTTGTCGATGCTTTAGAATATGAAATATTGTAGGGCCTGAAAGGAACAGAAGATCGTCGTAACGAGACCGTTTATTAACTTGATTTAAAATACAATCGTACCGCGTGTAAATACAACTTATTTCTAGATGATACGCTAAATGAGCTAAATATAACCTGTCTTTTGCGAAGAAACTCCACCCGTTGTCGTGTGTGTATATAATACCTATATACAGTAGATAATTTCAAACGGGTAACAGAACGAACAATAATATCCTGAGACGTTAACTTGTACGAATATTAGGGAGGATCTTTCAAGGACGAGTCTCGTCGAATCCCTTTCAGTACCATTAACCCTCGACTATGGAGGAGTCTGAAGATGATTTGACGATCTACGCTCAGAGCAAATGACATTACCGAACCTCGGAATTCCAACAGAATTAAGCTTGCCTTCCTCCCTTAATGAACAATTTGTATCTCGCGACCGCTATGCAACTAAGAATTTACACTAGATTTACGGAACTCGTAAAGATTATTTGATGTAATGACGCGAATATATGTTTTAATTAAATCTGTCAATCTAATGGGTTACAATAAAAATATGTTCAATCAATGTCCATAAATCTAGTGTTAAATATATGAACGATTCTGAATGTCGCGATACGTTTGTCGCTCGCGGTGGTAAGGAAACTCGAGTCGAAGAATTCGGGAAGACTTGTTCAATCGTGTTTAAGTCTATTTTAGAAATTTCGCGGTCAAATTGAAAACTCGAATTTCAATCAAAATACTTGCAAACACCCAATGACGTTATATCGTCTATAATTTAAATGCTACGTGTTCATAAATAATCACCATATCTCGCTAAAGCGAGCGTTCCCTTCACAACGTAGCCGATCGAGTCTCGGGTACACGCTAACTCTACGTTTAAGTATAATTCAATAAATATAAATAAATATCGTGATCGTCGTCGAGACCTGTCCGAACGGTTCACGGTTCGTCAGGCCTTGCGTGTGACATTTGTTCTTGGATTTTCTCTCCTCTCTCGCAAGCTCCGTTTTCATGGACGAACCACGGGGAATCCCGATGCTCCCCAAAAAGGCACCGAGAATTCCGGCAAATTTTAGATCGTCGTCGATCGGACGAAATTAATCGATTAACATAAAATCAGGTTCCAATTTCGATTACGTTTCTGGAAGACGACCGAGTCAATCCGTCGGTCGGTGAGCCGAGTTCGTCGATCGAGAGCTGTCAAGAAAAGTATTACCAAGATTCCCGGTGAAGTCTAGTTACCGACACGTCTAATACGCATATTCCACGTCTATGTCTAAAGCTACTTCTCCGTTCTGAGACGCGATCCAAGCTGCGGGACGCGAACAACTCGGACGACTCGATTTGTTTAAACAAAAGGAAAAGAAAATGTTGGAGATTTTGAAAGTAATTGAGCTATCGAATCCTAGAGTTGTTCAGATCCTGCGACGCCTAAATCGTACTCAGCGAATTAAAACGTGGCTCCTTCATACGGCGTTGCAATTCATGAAAACGGTCCTGCAATCCTCTCCGCTGCGACCGCGTCGACTCGCGTCGTAGAGTGCGTCGAAGCCTACACCGCTCTGCCTCTGGAGCAGATAGCTGGTCGCGTAGCTGCAAGAAGCAAGAACGTTCGATTTTGGGTATTGGATGAATAATCAAGGAAGACGATGGACTTTTTTTTCTCTGCTGGATCAGGTTTCGTTGAGTTCGAGACGCTAAGCGAAACGGTTGGTTGTCGGGGGTGAATAACGAAAAGTTAATCGTACATTAATATACTACTATGCCAATGTGTGAGCCCAGACTGTCCTTGCACCCCTAAATTTATTTAAATAGAACTTATAGCAGTCGCAAATCCGTAACAACGGGCACTAATTGGAAGATACTTACGATCCAAATTGACAGAAAACGGACGACGTGCCTTGAGCTTTAGCGACACACTCGGCGCTTGCCTCGCAAAGAGCTCTCTCAGCGCAACCTCGTTGACCTTCGTCCTCAGCGCGTCCAACGTTATTGAAAGATTTCAACGACCTCACATAACCCTGAATAAAAAGTTCCATCGAGCGTTACATGAAAATGATCAGCGATACACGAAAGTATCCTGTTTATTTTTCGATGACAACGAAAGTCTACCTTCAGCATGGTGAGTGTAGTGACGGCAGCTTCGGAGATTGTGTCTCGTTTTCCCATGGATCTGGCAGCCAACGAACGATGGGAGAACGATGTTTTTAGCGCATCCAAAAGATTCACCACTATGTTAATGAACTGTTAAAAAGAATCGAATTATTGAACACCTCCGGAAAATACAGTAAAAGTTGGATAAATGCCAGAACCGATTTATGATTGCCCTCGAGACACCACAAAACTCGAGAGCCGAGAAGTGATATCTTTTCCCCGTCTCGACTCTCATATCACTTCTCTTCTCTTTCACTCGCTATCCTTTTCTACGTTCGACGGTCGACTTGTGGTGCTTCTATAATTAGAATCGGACTTAGGGTACCGATTTTCGAGCATTCATCCAAGTTTTACTTTTTCCAATCTTTGATTCTTGAACACTTTTTACAATTACAACTGAATTGGTCATCTTACAATTTTATTGTAAGGATCAAAGGGTACTCGCGACAAACAGTAAGTGCAAAACAGACAGAATAGAAGCATTCTACAGGAGGGAAGCATAAGAATTTCCCCTCGACTCTCGACGCTTCGCCAAGTTGCCCACAAACAAGATCCCATTCTCAATTCGAGGATCAATTGATAACTAACTATATGATTGATATAATATTGATGATAGCACAGACGAGCTATACGAGTAAACCTTACATCCAATGTATTTTTTCGGCACATTTTTGTAGGGCCCAATTTTGGGGGACCATTTCTAGCCACACATTATATCTTCGGTAAACAATTTTTTTCTCGAAAACGCGTAAGATTTCGGGAATATGACTATTCACCAAAAATGATTGCAATTGACTCCTACAACCGAAAATAATTTTTTCAGAATGATTCGAAATTCTTTTTGTTCGCCGAAAAATGTAGGCACCTGTCGATTTTGCTTAAAAATTAGTCTTTCATTTTTAATAATTTTATTTGACGCCCTATATAAAAGTTGTCTAATACTGTTTTGTAGGTACCCATGAGCTCTACGCGAGAAAAAAGTTTCATTCAAATATATTCACTATTGTAGGAGTTATGGTTGTTTGAAAATTGGATCAATTTTATGTGGTTTTCCTAACTTTACGGGGTCAAAGAACAACTTTTTCAATATTGTTAGAATTCCTACATATTCTTCACCAAAATACGCGTTGTTTGCCGTTTGAAACATTAAAATCCTCCAATCCGTTCAGAAGTTATGACGTTTTAAAGATACGCACAAAATTTTCGAGTGATATTTCTGGCCTGAAATTATATTTTCGGTAAGGAATTTTGTTCTCGAAAATGGTTAGGATTTCGAGGGCACGTCTATTGACCGAAAATGATTGTAATTGACCTCTGCAAACGAAAATAATTTTTTTAGAACGATTTGAAATTTTTTTTTCGCCGAAAAATTTCTGCATCTTAGGTCGGTATGACAATCGGATTGTGCCACGAAAGTCCATAAGGTGTAAGATCTACTCGTATGCCTCGCCTGTGATGATAGGATTAAATCAGACTTAATAAATGTAGATAATGAGTATGTGACTTTAGAGTCACGCTGGGTTGTGGAAGAGTAACTCGTAAAAACTTTTTTACGAAACATCAGGGATTATAACATTGTTTGAAATTCAAGGAGTCGCAGTAAAGGACACGCTCCGCCCGCGCCACGCTTAGTTGACCGTGAACAATCTTTCGCGACAGACCTGGAGGCTCGTTGAGCATGGCCGAGGAAAAAATTCAGTCTCGAAGCGGAGGATTATTATGGTAACTCGACCATGTCCCTCGATATGTTCTTTGAACGTTACTGGAAATCAGGCTCTACGAATCCTAATGAAACGACGATTAAAATCGACTCGCTTGGCGAAACGTCGTACGCGTCGAACAGTTAAGATGTTTCTTTACTAACCTCGGAAGCGTTTTTAGCCATCGAATAAATCTGATTAGGGTCTCTGTCTCGTCCTAGAAACGCGCCCAGCATCGCAGCCAAAATATCCTAAACAACCGACACCAGCCATGTGCTCTGAGTTGAAATTTTGATGATTATTTACAAGGAGTCGCGTTCAACTTGTACCCCAAACACGACGGACGTCGATAGTAATTATAATTGCACGGTAATATACAATGATGGGTAAAAGTATGTGTATACAGTGGTGGATCACGCAATCCTGCAAACAGACGCTTATACCTACTAAAATGTTTTCGGAATAGATTTCACTGGAAAGATCTTGTCGATCCATCCGTTAGTAATGTCAAGATAATTTGAATGCATTGTTTACGGAGAAAGTCATATGCTTCTAATATGCGTGTTGCAAAAGCTGAGGCTAAGCACAGTTTGGTTCTAGCGAAGGCCCACCTTAACGATCGCAAACAGGCCTGTCGAAATTAATTTCTCTACCCCGACGCTGGTTCGAGGACAAATTAAATCGTTTAGAAAACGTGAAGATCGTTAACGATGCCCCGCCACACCCCGTACGAAAATAATGATCGTTCTTCTAATTGCTGGGAGAAGGGGGAGGTGGGTAACGGGCCTCATTAGCATACGCAACCGCGCGCATCAAAACCCGATTTGTACACTGTTGTGGTTTTTTTAACTTCATCGACTCTAAAAATGAAACAGGAAAGCGTCGATTATTATTTCGCAGCACGTACAAAAGCGTCACATTCTACGAGATAATAAAAAAAAAAGGGATCTTCTTTTCGAAGGAAAGAATTCTTTGTGGCTGTTTCATGCTCAGCGACGTACAATCTACTGCATTAGAGGTGCGCTACTAATTCTAGTTAGCTAGTTATTGTACAGCGTGCCGTGTTTAATCTAAACAATTTACAGGACGAAGAAATCGAACAATCCCACGGTAAACTCGAAGGCAGTGATGGGACTCGAGGTATAATCTGGTAGTTGTAGGACTTAACCCCTTCCCATACCATTTAGCTCGACTAAATCCGGACCCAAACGGCAAACGTCAAAGCGCAGTAAACAGACCAGACTGATGCTAAACTGTTTTGTAACAGAGGTTATCGTGACCAACTCTTGTGACGTACTGATACGAACTAAAACTCAATCACGATCGTGATTTGCTGTCCGCGAGCCTGGCTCGTGATGTTTACGTTAAGACTTATTTACGTTAAGTGATATTTATGTTTGGGCCAAAATTTTTGCCACGAGTCAGACTTGTTAAAGTACAGGAAGGGGTTAACAAAACGGTTGGCAATCGCTGGTGCAGTGTAACCTGATCCGGGCTCAGATGTCCAGACAAAACATACTGTGGTGTTATTTTTGTCCTTTTCTACGTTCGACAAAATCGCCATGCTCGCTCGGCTTGTGCCTTTCCAGGAATTGAAATTTAGCCATGCTATTTACAGCATGAGATAACCGAAAGGGGTAACGGAAAGAAACATTGGATTGGTTCCATCACTGCTACGAGGGGGAAACGCAACGTTTTATCGAAATCGGACGTTTGAAAGGATGTTAACCTACGATCAAGATTTCACACCAGAAGAAGCGTCGTCCTTCGAGCGATTTCCACGAGTGGTTACCATGAAATAATTCGCGTCAGCGATGCGGTTGACCCACATCGGGTGTAACGGTCAATTCAGCTTGTGCTTTCGTTACGCGACCTGAATCTCGTCGCGATGAAAGTCTCTCTCGGAAACTTTGCTCTTCCCGCGCGGAACCATTTCGAACACGATTACTTTCTGGATCCGTTTAAGGGGATATTCTCGTCCCGAAGTTTTCTGGGCGATGTTTAAAATTTCAAATAAAGAGAGGCCCGAGGCCAAGGAAATTCAACTTTTACCACATCTTTATTTGCGTTTTAAGAAAGTGCAGGAAATTTTTTTTATAACTAGCCTGATTTTTAAAGTCATTGACTATGACAGCGCGTGAAAACAAAATTTTCTCCATGGCTTTCACAGCCTTAAAATTTCATTAATTTTTAATAACTTCAATATCACTCAGAAAGCAACGCCACGAAATATTGGCTTGTTCGGAAAGTTTAGAAAATTTAGGTAATATTCGAAACTCAGAATATGTGTAGAGAAGAAACATTTGATGCTGTAATATATGCACTATTCGATTTCAATATTTGCCTTCCAATGACTTGCAAAAACTATAATTTTAAGGTTACATTGACACACGATAATATTTCTTTCCGAACAATCCATCGAATACGCCGTTAATTCAATATTACCATGGAAACCGAAAATTCCCGTTTATCGATTTTCCCGTGGTTACAGTGTCCGGCAGTTAAACGTGTACACGATATCGGGTCGGGTTTCCTTCGTCGCGTTAAAGCAGAAATGACTGTGAGCATCGGGAAAACCGTGAAGCAAACGTCCAAAGAATACTTGGACCTACCTGCATCGTACTGCTCTGATTGTCAACCTTGTCTATACCGTCAGCAGGCTGTTGAGGACCACCCAGCAGAGCAGTGAGCAACCTGAGGCCAACCGAGAGCAAATTTGCCCAAGGGCTGGCCGGTGCTCCATCGTCTATGTCGTTCTTGCTCGGACCAGCGATGCCGCCCGTTTGTCCCAGCAACATTTGCATCACCATGCTCAACAAGTTCGACCAGGAAAACCCGCTGCTGCTGCCTTCCTGATAAAACAGAACTTCTAACGTGAAATTTTGCTAATGCATCAGAAGATTTAGCCAATTTCGAGGACGCCCGGTTATCACCTGAATCTGATTGGTGCTGATGTCGTCCAAATCGTCGAGGGCCACTTTCTTCATGGCATTCGGCTTCTCGGCGAATTTTCTATCCTCTCTGACCTGTTGTTGAACCTGCTGCTGATACTGCGGATGCTGAGGCAAGGTGGATGCTTGTCCCAGAACAAGCACCACCAAGCACAGCGACAAGCACTGATTGTACTGCATTCTGTAACAGAAGTCACAAACACTCTGCTATAAAACCAAACAAATTAATAAAAGAAGGAAACAATTTTTAAATTGACAGTGCACCAAGCGTTCGATCGTTTTACCTAAAGGCAAACAATTTTTCAAAGGCCAAAAATAATGGTTACATCGAAAATTTGATACAAGTTTTCATGTTCTTTAGTACTCTTAACGATAAATAATAATTTATACATAACTTGTGGTTATTGGTTCAGTTATACGCCTTATTGTATATTCTTTTTTTTTAGTAGGAGTCTTCCAAGAATTTGGAAAACACCATTCCTAGATTAAGCGTTAATCGTGTCTCAGAAATATAAATATGAAAGCATTTAACTAATATGTCCGAACGTGACTCTATCCATGACGACAACGATGACTCAGAAGAGAAAACAAGAGTGAACGACCGAATTTATGGAAGATGCGAGAGCACAGATTCAGGACTCGTTTGGAAGAACTGATCCGGGAGAAAATCTGCGCTGGCACGAATGTGTCACACAATTGACGCGATTCATCGTCGATAAGTAGCTCGGACGGTTTCATACATCGTCAGTATAAGTACAGAGTGTTCGTTTGAATAATTCCACACGAAGATATGAAACTATTTACTCAGCAAATTTGAAAAATAAAATTCAAAACATTTCGATTACTTACACTAATATTTTTTTAGTAATATTCTTACAATAGTTTAATTTTCAATTTACTTTTATTCAATTTACGCTGCATACGACTGAAACTGAAATCGAAACGTTTTGAAATAGATTAAAATTTTTAATGTGTTTCTTAAAACTTAACCTCTACCATTCTAATATTAGAAACACCCACAAAAGACAGTAAAAGACAATCCCAGAGAAAGTTCATTCTCTATTTTATATTCCTAATTAAAGTAGCATTTTACAAGTACGTATTAGGTTTAGTTCATTGTAAACAATATTGCAATACGTTGTAACTTTAAATTGTCGATTACCAGTGACTATCATGGCAGTTAATGTGTTAACCATCAATGTAAAAACACAAATACCCATACGCAGATTGCTGTAGGACCCAATGTACCTAATCCAGGAATAAGAAACAACTGAATCCACTGACCTTGATCCTCGATTACGAGCTGTCCTTGATCGTCGGGCCAGAAGGAGCAGGGAAAAACTAAACAATCGCGCGTACACGGAACAAATAATGCTGAACGGCGTCGCTTGAATCAAAGGAACGACGTCGAGTGCCAGGAAAGTGTGTCAGAACGGTTAAGGTCACCCTGGCAGCGCCAGCTAGCCCACTTCTTGATCGAAGCTACCGGTTTGTTGAACCCGACAGGTACCGTTACCTGTAAACGCGGTCGTGACCTACTGTAGTCGTCCTCGTCGACTGCACCGGCAGAGCAACCGAAGAAAAAAATAAACAAAAAGAGAAAGAGACGATCCGACGAGAAGAAATCGTGGAAATTCTTTCACCGATGTGAGAGCGTCGCGTCAACTTGCGCAGCTGGAGAGATTGCCCCTATATGGAATTCAGATTCGGTAATCGAATCTTCGTGGAGAAGGTCATTTCACTATTGGCCAAAATTAATACTAATTCTAAGTTGAAACTAAAGTAAATGTTGTATGTATACATTGTAAGCATAAGTTTCATTAAACTCAGCTTTTGACAGTTCACTAAACAATAGTTTATAAATAGACACAAGTCCATAGTTACAATTACATTCTGGTTAAGAAAATCCATTGAATTTTAAGACGAAGAATCTGCCTGGTGGCTAAAAATTTTTTTAAGAAGACCGGTGTAGTAAAACATTTATGACTTTATGCTTCAACGAGGCTCAGAGTAGCAAAGTTCTGAGAACGACGTTGGAGGTTATAGTCTGTTCGAGGAAATAACGTTTACGTATGTAAATGGCGGGTGTGTCGATTTGTTCGATGCGCCTGTTCCCAGTTGTACGCAAGGGGCACGCGATGCTCCCGTTGAAACGGAAGGATCTCATTTGAACATCTTGAGAGCAAATAAATCAACTAAATGTCTCGCACGAAGAGCGCCACGCCTTTCGAAAACGGTACACGTCGCGCTCGGAAAAATCAGCAACGATTTCTAACTGTACCCTGACATCTGCGGAAGGTGTATTTTCTACCTGTTCCGGGCATGTTCCACGACACCAGTCTTTGTGAACGCTACTCTCAAATGCCCTTGTAAATTGTTAATCGTTTTTCCCCACAATGCACATAACTATAATAGTTAGCTATATTATACATGTATATATACATATGTGTTTTACTTGTTTATTGTTGGGACATATATATTTCAATCCCTTTTTTCAAAAAGAACCCGTCACACAATTTGCAAATATCTTTACTTTGCAACCTGTTTCAAAACGATGGAACAAGCTAAAATATTCAGATCCCTCGCGCGAAAATAAATCGAAAAGTCCTTTACCATTTTACAATCTGATACTTCATTTTCAACATATAAGCAGTTAAATTTTACTGATGGAATTTTCGGTAGTCGCCATTTTGGTCCCGGTCAGCTGATCGTGCGGCACCACATACGCGCAATCGCACACGAGGAACACGTGTCCATGACGTTCTCACGCGCAAAAACTTTAACTGTTTGCATCTCGAAAACAACGCCTCGGATTGTAAAATGGAAAAGGACTTGTTCGATTTCTTTTTACGTGTTCCGTCTTGTCCAACTTGATAAAAATTGGATTGAAACCGTTATCTTGCATAACCATTAATCTTTAAACATTAATCTGAAGTGGACTACCACAATTGTTCCACGCACGGTCCAAAATACTGAGATCACAATCATCGAAAAATGAAGTCAAGGTCATTGTTCTACTTACGTCCCTGAAGATGATCGGAACGTGACTATGGAAGACTATTCTCTAGCTTCCTGTGATTCAAGAATCACGTTGATCGATACCAGGCGAACGGTACTATTCACTTCGTTACTTCCAAGTAGACTTCCTTGACACTGACTCTCGATTCTGAAGATGAAATTCTTTGCGGGCCCTGCTATATAGCCTGCGCGGTCACGTGGGGAGGGGATTAGGCCGAGCAGCCAATCACCACACACCTTTGGCACTATTTTCAATGGAACGGACCAATCGCCTATCGCTGTTTGACTTGGTGGGTCCGAAGATCTACTTTTCAAATGCTTTTCGTCGAGATTCTTCGGTCACGACGCTCCAAGCATCTTTTATATCGACCGAATTCTCTCGCGCGTAACGCAGTCGGTGAACGAACGGAAAGCAAGAATTCTGAAGCTTTTCCTTTTCTTTTCTAGTTAACTGTTTGGGTATTTTGAACGTTTATTAGCGGCGATTCTTGTGCTATGAACGCCCATGAGCGTTCTTGAAGCGTGCTTAACAGTCAGGAGCACGAAGTTTTCGCACACGATGCTTGTCGAGTGATCGAATCTTGGGAAAGAAGCTTGCAGCTATCCTAGCAATTTTAATAATGGCATATTGTAGAATGTTTTATTGTTTATTTCGTTATAAACAATTAAAAAATTTATTTACTGAAGATGAACATACTTCGTACTATTCTGCCGTTCTTATAGCATTCAGAATAACAGCTGTAAAGGTTAATATATTATATACATACTTAGTTGCAAACTTACATGTACATAAACTCAAATGTAGAAACTTCGATATATTTTATAATAGTTATATTCAATCATTAGTACTACGTGTACATTTAGCATTTCCCTTTATTAATAGTCGTTAGTCCTTGAATACTATAGCGAAGTACTACGACTTCTACTCATCTTTATCACCGATTTATTTGGAATTTCCATAAAGTGTATTTACTTTCTGATTGTTGATAGACTGCAAAATGTTAATAGAATGATGTTTTTTAAACATTTGAAATTGATTTTTACGAAGTTACGTATAGATATAATGTCGCAGAGTAAATTAAGACTTCGAAGAACCTAGAGTTCAAGTCTTACGAAGAACACGTTCACTTTTCCTTTTCTTTTTCTAATTTTCCTGTCGCTGTTCCGTTTGCCGTTCCAACGCTGCAGAAAAATTAGGTTAGGTATGTATTTGAAAGAGTACCATTTCCGTGAGGTCATTTAAGGCATTTACATTTATTTACAATCGCATATAATTATTTACAATCACATATAAACAGTTGTGACAACTAATTTGTATTTTAAATGTGCGAGAAAATATAAACTTTGTTTAACCTTCCAAAGGGCTCCTGTTTTTAAAATAAGGGGTGTAGGTGCTGATGAACCTATTAACGATCGTATTGTTCCTTTGGAACAACAACGATTCGTATAATACACGGTTATACGAAGCAAAATGTTGCGTGCGATAAAATAGAATCGAGATAATCAACTCGAAACGAAGGGAGAATTAAAATCATCCAGTAGTTTTCCAGAGATGGACAAAATTTTATTAGAATGATCATATAATGATTTATATAATATATACCTATATCATCGGACAGTTATAAAGATAAACTTTTATTCGTTATTAGACATTTTTATTAAAATAAGAAATTTATCCATCTCTGCAATTTTCTTAATTAAGGATAGAAGTTTGGTCTCCCTTCACGCCGTAGTTAATTTAACCTCAAGTACGCGTTAAATCTAGGTTCGATGAACGTAAATAAATATTCATAATCGTCGAGGCTTGTTCCAACACCGGTTCACGGTTTGTTCAAGCCTCGAATCTCGTTCAGTTTGCCAGAGATGGGCGAAATTCTTCTGCAGATAAAAATCTTGAATAACAGTTGATTCGTCACTCATTGAATGAAAATTAAAATTTCCATTATAGTATTTAATTATAGTTCTACACGATGGTCTTGTTGATTATCTATTATTCGATTAAAATTTTGCCCATCTCTGGTCTACTTCTACGACAAGCGTTTCCTGTTCCACTTGCGTATGCACTTGTTCGCGATCTCGTATCTCTAAATCTTTATTTCTTCCTAGCGAGCTCTTCCTCTCGTGGGACAAATCGTCGGTGATTATGGAGAACCTCGAAATTCCCACAGACACTGCGAGTTCCGGCAAGATTAAATAAATCTATGTATTATTAATAAATTAAAACCGTTCGAAAAATACAAGACGAGGCAGCGCTGAATATTCGACACTGCTTACTACCTGAATACTAAGCGGGATCTCAATTCTTTCAAGCCTCTCGGGCATCTGAGGCATTCGTGTGTAGTCGGAGCACTTCGGGTTCTTCCGTGTAACGTGCTACCGACCCACTAGGTCGTGTCTCGATCAGTGTCAACGTTCAAATAAATCGAATGTATCGATTAGAATTTATTTTGTTGAAATGCATTCTAATTTCTGCTTTTTTTTACGCAAATGATGAATCTTGTCAATGTAATAAATAAAAATATAAAGTGACACGAACTAACTGGGAATTCTAAGTTCGAAAAATTGTAATGGAATAATCGTTCTTTAAAAATACCTTCCACAACATTAAACTAATCGAACAAGCTCGTACGTTTCCCACTGTCTCAAATATTTAGAACAGTATTTTCCCATTTCTCAACAATTAATGTATCGTAATAGGTAAAGTGAAAATCATAAATTAATCCTTTCTGTTATAAGTAGTGGAGGGTTAGCTCGTGCTTGGTGCGTAGATTACTCATCACATTTGTTAATGATATTCGGTGAACGCTCATGGGGCACTGATCGAACGTTTATAAACGCCCGCAGCGCTAGAAAAAATTAATAAACTGTCGATCGATTCTCAGGATTAAGTCCCAATTTCTTCGTTCGATTCGTTTCGGAATACGGTACCAAATCAGTCTACTAATCAGTGAACCGAGTTCATCGATCGAGAGCTTCGAGCACTGAATAGATCGAGACGAGACCAAGCCTTTCATACGGCATTGCAGTCCATGAAAAGAGTTCTACAGTCCTGTCCTGCGCGACCGCGGCGACCTGCTTCGTAAAGTGCCTCGAAACCTACTCCGCTCTGCCTCTGAAGCAGGTAACTAGTTGCATACCTTGGAGAAACAAACATACGTTCCGATCAAGAAGCATCCTCAATGAACAACGTTTATACAGGGTGTTCGGCCACCCTTGGGAAAAATTTTAATGAGGGATTCTAGAGGTCAAAATAAGACGAAAATCAAGAATACCAATTTGTTGATGGAGGCTTCGTTAAAAAGTTATTAACAATTAAATTCAAAAAATTCAAATCGTTCTGGAAAAATTATTTTCGGTTGCAGAGGTCAATTACAATCATTTTTGGTGAATACACATACCTCCGAAATTCTATCCACTTTCGAGAAAAAAAATCGGGTAATTGCTGAAATTTTTCGGCAAAAAAAAAATTTCTCAAATCGTTTTAAAAAAATTATTTTCGGTTGCGGGGGTCAATTACAATCATTTTTGGTGAACAGACATACCCCCGAAATCCTGCGCATTTTCTTGAAAAAAATTCAGTACGGGCGGAACTTTAAACGTTAATAACTTTCTAACAAAGCCTCCATCAACAATTTGATATTCTTGATTTTCGTCTTATTTTGGCCTCTAGAATCTCGCATTAAAATTTTTCCCAGGAGTGGCCGAACACTCTGTAGAAGGTTTAAACAACGAATTTTTCGAAATATTCGTAAGATTGCCCATCTAAATAGCGCTGTATCTATCGGTAATGTAGTATTTTAATCTCCCTAATCATTCGAACAATGCGCGTGATGAAAAGAATACGTACGATCCGAGTTGACAAAAGATGGACGACGTGCCCTGGGCATCCATAACGCACTCAGCACTCGCCTCGCAGAGGGCTCTTTCGGCACAACCACGCTGACCCTCGTCCTCGGCACGTCCCACATTACCAAAAGTTTTCAATGATCTCATATAACCCTAAATCAGAAACGTTTCTCCTTTGATAAAAAAAATTTTTAAAACCCTCGTGTCACTAGCGGATTTAGCATTACCTTCAACATGGTAATAGACGCGACAGCAGCCTCGGAAACGGTATCCCGTCTTCCCATGGATCGAGCTGTCAATGAACGATGGGAGAACGATGTCTTTAATGCGTCCAAAAGATTCACCACAATGCTAATGAACTGTTCGAGAAGGATGTCAATTAAAAAAACATTCTACTATAAAAGAAATCATGGCTCAAACTTAGTAGTGAAAGAAAACCGTTATCTATTGTTCATTTATCGAGTAGAGTCACTAAATGGAAAGGGTACGTACTTGCATAGGGCTGGCGTCGTTGTTAACCTTGTCGATGCCCTCGCCATCGGCGTGCTGGGGACCACCAATCAAAGCGGTGATAACTCTGAATCCAACTGCGACCAAATTTGACCAAGGACTGGATGGAACTCCGTCATCGATCTCATTTTTACTTGCATCGTTATCGCCAGCCATTCGACCCAACAACAACCGCATCATCATGCTCAGCATATTCGACCACGAGAACGCGTTGCTGACGCCACCATCCTGATGTAACAGATCATTGGAACGCTAGATCATATGTTCAGCTAAACAAACGTTCTGCTATTATATTGACTCTCCAGTTGTTAAATAAATAGAGTTATAATTTTAATATATCTTTATAGAAATATTACCAATGGATTACTGAGGTTAAGGCGATGAAAATGAATCCAAACACGATCGCATTCGGACGATTTTTTAATTATACGAAATTGAATGTTTTTCGAAAATAATTTGTGTTTGGGCTAATTTTCATCGGTGAAGCATTAATAATATTCTTATGAAGTTGAGGAATACAAATAAATGCTGCTATATCGTTTCGATAGTCCACCATATTTTTAGAAGGCTTCATCAAAATCCAGAACCCGAAATTAACGGACTCCTCGTGCGAGTATAGTCGGTACTTGCCTGAATGTGATTGGAACCAACTTCGTGCAGATCATCGAGACCGACCTTCTTCATGGCATTAGGCTTCTCAGCGAATTTTCTGTCCTCCACCACTTGCTGTTGGACCTGTTGCTGGTATTGCGGATGTTGGGGCAACGCCGTTGCTTGTCCCAAAACAAGCGCCACCAAACATAACGACACATATTGATTATACTGCATTCTGAAACAGAAATTCCATACACTCTGCTTTTCAAGTTGCAAAAATCTCTAATTCTTTTGTTCAGGGTGTATCCTTTAAACTCGACCACCATTTTTCAAGCATTAACGCCATCTATTAAAGACTCTGTTTTAAACAAAAGTGATATGTCCCCAATAGCATCGAGAGCGAGGGTTCCTTCACAGAAACACGTGGGAGCCAATCTTACGAGTGACAAAGCAACTTCTAAGCTCAAAGACCCCTTTCCTTTATTCGTGTGAAAAACTCTTATTCTCGATACTATTTCAGAAAAGGAAAAGGCGTAAGTGGATCAAACTGAAAATATAAAATGTAAGTACGTCATCGTAATGAAACGGGGGACTTTCCAAAATTAGTGTTATGTTCACTAAATTGTGTCCACGACTGTATTATATTCATAAAAGTATTTAAATATTTTAGTGAGTTACTGCATGAGCCCAGACTGACCTTGAACCACGACCAAGGAACGAGACGTAGTAAATTACATACACGATGCGCGCGAACGAGCAAACCTAAACGCGTCGCGGGTGACAGACGAACGACGCCGTAGCGGTAAGAAAGTGTGTCAGAGCGGTTAAGGTCAACATGGCAGCACCATCTAGCCTACTTCTTGATCGAAGCTGTCGGTTTGTTGAACCCAGGTTGTACCGTTACGGGAAAACACGGTCGCGATCTTCTGTCGTCCTCGACTACACTGACCGATCGAACGAGAAAAAGAAAGGCAGGGACGAGCAAAATTCTTATCTGGATGAACGTCTCGTCTCATATGTCTCCGTCCCTTTTACCTTTCTTTGTTTGTTCTCACTTCGACGAACCCGTTGACAAGAAAGAAACGTAAGAAAGTTGGGAAAAGGATTTTTGCAATAACGTGTGACGGCTGTTTTCTCGAGGCAGAAAAGAAATTCCTCATCCTTGTCCTACAATGTGGCGTGTATATAGGAATTCGGAATAAAAACCATAATAATTATATAAAAATTGAATTTTTGTTGTAATGTTCGTTCCTAAACAGGCTAGGATTAAAGTGACGCTAGCGTGTTGTTTATTACAGATAGTTGTTTCGCAAATCGTTCCACGTAATTAAGAATAACACGGTGTATGACCAGCTAGATTGTAAGAAATATAGATACAATTAACACACTCCTTTCCATTTGCGATTGCTATTAAATAGTTCGTAATTGCTGTTATTTCGAAAATACAGTTAGAAATAAATATGTGGTAATAGTGTGATTTTTACATCACCCTGAACAAAGTTAAAAAGGGGCCGAGTAATGAAATTAGGATTATAATATTATTTATTTTATGACTAGAAGTAGATGTTTTCTTATTCACGTTCTTGAAATCTAAATTAATCCTATTCTCAGTATGTAGTATGTAATTGTATTTTTAGAGCAATAGTCAATATACAATGGGTACAGAGAAAAATGTGCATTTCTTAAAATTTCATATAAAAAACCAAACATACTTTAGACTATAAAGGGTTAATTTATATTTTCGTGATTTTAATAATATATACTTTGAATCTACATAAAAAATTCTGTGCGATTTTGTCATCAGTTAAATAGTGTTCCTCGTGAAGAACATTCTTTTTTACTGTATATATTGTTATAGTAATAATAAATAAATATACGTATTATCCTGGACTAATAAATTAAAAATTTTATAACACGATGATGGTGTGCCGCGTAAATGTAACTAATTCTAAGATGTGTCGCTAACCCAAAAAGGTTGAGAAACAGTGGTCTAGGGCTCTCGGAGTGATCTCGGAGACTTGCCAGGAAATAACAGCGCGTGCTACTCACTTGGTTACCTTCGAATGGACTTCCTTGACACTGACTTTCAGCTCTGAAGATGAAATTCCTCGTGGGGCCTACTATATAGCTTGCGCACTCACGTGGGGGGTAGACAGCACGGCCAATGACCATACGCCTTTGGCACTATTTTCAATGGAACTGACCAATCTTCCGTCGCTGACCGCCGTGGATCCCGAAGGTCTATATCTCAAACGCTCTTCGATGGGATTTTACGGTTACGGTTCGCTTCGACCGAATTCTCTCGCGCAAAACGGCCGACGAACGAACGGAAAACAACAATTCAAAGTTTTTCCCCGTAGTCTTACTTCGGTGTTAATTCTACACATTCCTATTTCAAACTCATTAAGCTTTTCAGATACGTAACCGTTCTTAAACCAAGAATATCGGGACGATAGATAGCTGATTATGCACCAGTGACAGAAAAACAGTATCGGTAAAATATCTGACACAATTCTTCCAAATTCGAAATCGAAAAACATCCAGTGGTTGGATTTTTCCCGTCGTATTTATGCAAGAGGGGAAATACCCCTCCCCATTAGTATTCGAGACATGCACGTGTATAATTTTATTGAACTAATTGATAGAACTCTACCAAACAATGATATTTATGCAAGGGGGGGAATACCCCTACCCGTTAGTTTTCAAAATATACAGGTTGTTTGGCGTCCCCTGGGAAAAATTTTAATGGGAGATTCTAGAGACCGAAATAAGACGAAAATCAAGAATACTAATTTGTTGATGGCGGCTTTGTTAGAAAGCTATTAACGTTTAAAGTTCCGCCCGTACTCAATTTTTTTCTCGAAAATGCGCAGGATTTCGGGGGGATGTCTATTCACCAAAAATTATTGTAATTGACCCCCGCAACCGAAAATAATTTTTTCAGAACGATTTGAAATTTGTTAATTTTGTCGAAAAATTTCACACCTCGAATTTTTTTCTCGAAAGTGGGTAAGATTCCGTGGATATGCCTAATGACCAAAAATTATTGTAATTGATCACCGCAACTGAAAATAATTTTTTCAGAATGATTTGAAATTTTTTAATTTCGCCGAAAAATGTCGACACCTACTCGAATTTTTTTCTCGAAAGTGAGTATGATTTCGGTGGCATGTCTATTCACCAGAAATGATTGTAATTGATCACCGCAACCGAAAATAATTTTTCCAAAACGATTTGAAATTGTTTAATTTAATTTTAAAATAACTTGTTAATGTAGCCTCAGTCAAGAAATTGACATTCTTGATTTTCGTCTTATTTTGACCTCTGGAATCTCCCATTAATATTTTTTCGAGAGGTGGCCGAAAACCCTTTATTTATACAATAAATTCATTGCTACGCTTTTGGGGCTGTGTTTCGCTATGAATAATATTCATTTGTATAGTAACAATAAGTTCTAAAATGAAATCGAAAACGATAAACGAATGATTGTCTCACACTTTCGATAAATTTCGAAACGATGAATCCTTTCTCGAATGTCTCCTGGTATTGTGGGAACATCATGACAAACTCGATTTTTTAAGTGTCTCAACGAGTGAAAGTCGACAGGAAGTTAACACAGATCATTTTTAATACTTTCCGAAATAAAGTAGGTAAATATTTGCACCGATACACGTAAATTTTATACGGTTTTGCATCTCCCACGTAATCACAATTTCTTGTTGTTCAATATACATATATCAAAATAAAACAACGACCACCAAATTATCTTTTGTAAATTATCTAAAAATCTCCAAATTATTGATCATTCTTATTGGAAAGGTCTATATTAACTAATGGCATGGCAACTCGTATAAACAATATTCCTTATTTCGAAAGATTCCGTTCAACTTCACTTTGTCCGCGTTTTGAACAGTTTTCAAGCACGCTGTGTATCGCCCGTGTTGAGAACGCTGCATTAACCCATCTCATAGCCAGAGGCTTTCCTTTTCTTTGTCAAAGATCCATCTTTCGCCTCGCACGCGTCCCGGTCATAGGCGATCACGATTCATCATAACTGTTTCGGTAGCGGGATGCTGGCGTCGTCTGTTCTTATTAGGATGATCATGCTAATCGCAAGAACAACCTGCACTCGCCAGAGAAACGTAAATCGAACCGTCGACGAACGTATTTAGCGATCTAATTGTTCGCCTCTTGTCAATTTTCACGGCAAATTAATCCCGCGAACCCTCTATGCTGAAATATTCGAGACAGTCCAGAACCGCTTCTTGCAACAGTCATTGACCACACGACACACTTCGCCAGTCGAATCACTGTACCCCAATTCTATATTAAAAACCGGTTGTTTACAGTCGGATCTGAATACATATTTCCCGGCACAACTCTTGTTTATTACAAGATGTCCTCGAAACTTCATCCGAAATATTGTTTCGAGGCGTCGCTACTTATTGCGTGTATAATGAAAGAATATGTAAAAAAATCTGTAAGACGAGATGGGTCCAAAAATCTGGTACTTACCGGGATATTCGTTAAATAATGTTTAACGTAAAAGATGATGAAAACGTTACCCATTCTGATCAATATGCGTGCGTAGTCTACGAATAAATCCTAATGACACACGTTCGAGTATTTCTTCGATTATAGCATTACCCATGATTCTCTAACTGTGCAGAGAAGAGAAAGAAGAGCACACTTTCTTCGGACGGAAGGACTTTAAGGAATGCGATTTTCGTAATTACAGTAAACGTGCGAGCATCCGTTATCTCGTCGAAGGTTCGTACGAACGGGGCCTCGTAACGAATACGGATACTTTTCTTCCGTACAAAGAAGTTCCCTCGTTTAACGAGTTTCTAGGCCAAGCATTTGCTTTCCTGAAATATCCACCGTACGTTTAAATAACGTCGCGCTCGTTCCTCGTGAACGAACCTCGAGAAATTGTCGGTGTTCCGCCATCTATAATAAGGCTGAAAGGAATAGGAAACCGGGTCCGCTATTAGACCTTTACCACTGACACAGAAATGCAACGGCATACCAGCGAGCGTGAACCAGTCATTTTTGTTCGGCACTCCTTCCCTCCCATTTCTTTCGTGACCGTTTATAATTCAACCATAATCTAGGCTCTGTCCACTTTTAAGAGAGGTAGATCTTGTCTATGAGGTGCGTAAATTAAATAATGAGACTGATTTTAAAAAATTTTTTTATTCAAATAGAATTACAATTCAACATTGTCTCCCTCA